CTGCCAGAGCTTCTTTGCATGCTACAAGCATTTTTGACTTCGAAACATATTTGGCTCTGTCCATTTCATTCAGTTTCAGATATTCAGGCTAAAAATGAGACATTTTACAGTGGATGGTTAAATTCATTTAGAAATTTAAAAAAGTCTTTGGTTTAGCGTTAAATAACTAAAAATAAAACAAGTACTACTTACATATTCATCAACTGGAATGGACATAGCTTTGAGAGCCACATCTTCGTTGATGAATTTCACCAGTTCCTTGATGATGTAACACGTTATCGCTTTTGGTACCTGATCTTTCATATTCTGCTTCACGTTTTCCGTGTATATTTTCAGTTTGTTGAATATATCACGAGCCCCTTCGTGATGTGCACTTTCCTTTTTCTTGATTGAGGACTTTTCTTCTTCTTTTTCAGATTTATCAGACTTGTCTTCTTTGACAGATTTGTCTTCTTGATCAAAAACCAGATTTTTTGTATTGATGTATGACATTTCGATGTCAATGAGAGCCAGAACACCTGCTATGGCTGAATCTGTGTTTTTATCGACGTATTTAATGATCTCCTTTCGCAGATAGTCACGTAACTTCGGAAAAATGATCTTAAAACCAATCAATTAGTTAAATTTCTACTTCAAACATATTTTTCATATGAATACATACTTTTTGAGTGCATTTTCGCACGGCCGATTTCAATTCTTCAATCACCAAAGTGATGATGAGCATAATTGGTGATTTTAATTTTCCGATTTGCTGTTCGGTGAATATTTCGAAAGCCAACGGGGGTTGGTAAAGGCCAGTACGAATACCGTGAATATTACGGATGGTGATATCGATTTCATCCATTGTGTTTTCTTCATCGTATTCGATTTTCGCAATTTCTTCTGCCAATCTAAACATAAACAAATTTTTGAGAAAATATCCAATAAAATTGGAAGACTGCATTCACATACCGTTCGTGAAAGATTTGATTGATTTTGGCACCGCTCGACAGTTTATCTGTTTCCACAGATTCTTGACCAAATGCTCCAATGCTATTTTTGAAATCGCTCGAAAGTTTTTGGGCAACACTGTTAAAATAGCAACGTTTTATCATGCCAATGTGTAATGAACAAATTTTTTAAAGAAAATACTCACACAAAAATCGTATGTCGCATTTCGGTGGAATTGTTCAAAAGCAGACCTTTGAATTTACCCACCTCACCTTCAAATAATGTAATTTTCTTCTGCAGTTCTTCCTGTAAATTTGGCATCGATTTGCAAATGTGTTCGGTCAATTCCCGATTCAATACCGTTTGCAGGTATGACGTACCGCAACGATCAGCCATGTGATTATAAGATGATCTACAAAGAAATCCAGTTCTGTCTTCAGTGCGGCTTGAATATCTTTATTCCCTTCAACGTCCATTTGTGAGCGATTCACAACGCCGATATAGCCGCGTTGCAGTGGAAAAACTCGATTTTCTAAAACGTCTTGAGCGTCGGTGCCTTTGTCCATCAAATCTAGTTTTGTGATCACGCCGATTGTTCGAGTACCTTCTGGATCTACCTCACGTGCCAATTTCAACGCATCCGAATTGGCCAAATCAGTATTCCCTGGGGTGACCGCCAATATTAAGCAGTTTTTTTGACTGATATATTTGAAAATCATTGCTTTAATTTGCTTTTCAATATCGGGCGGTTGATCACCGATCGGAACTTTGGTTATTCCCGGCAAATCAACCAGTGTCAAATTCAGTACACGTGGCGAGAAAATTTCCAAATTAATTGGATCGTCAGAAATGCCTTTATTCGTACCAGTTGTACGGTCAGTTTCGGCTTTAATTTCTGCACGAATTTCATCAAAATCTTCAAACCGTTTGTCTTGACAATGCAAAAATTTACCATATTCTAAAATATATAAAAAACATGATTTTATTGTAAATACTTCAAATGTAAACAGCATTGTCTCACCTTTCTCTTTTTTTTCGTTGGTCAGTTTCAAAATCAGTGGGCGTCGCGTAACGATACCCGAGCCACGTGGCAAGAAATCTCTGTGTTTGAATCAGAAAAATGAATTAATGAAGTCATGCTAACTGATGCATTACAATATATTACATTTAAGTGCTTTTTTCTTCAATTTATTAATTTACAGGCAACGCTTACCTTCCCACAATATTTTCTAAAACTGACGATTTTCCAGCGGACTGACTTCCAACCACAGCAATTTGCGGTAGATCCAATTCCAAACTTAGACCATTTTTTGTGCAGGCATCATGCAGCTCGTTGATAATAGGAATAAGTTTTTCCATTCCATCATTTCCAGGAACTGACATCTTGATTTCAGCTTTTTCACCTATATGACGAACCAATTTAAAACATTTATTGTCAACTATGAACATACTTTCAGAAAATATCATTGCATATGGAAAAATAAATAAATTTTCTAAAACCAAAACACCGAATTACTGGAAAATGGTGTGTGATGAACAGTTTTTCAACAAATATTGAAATTAGTTTTTTTGTTATAAGTCTAATTTTAATTCTCATGTATGTATGATGTGATGATTGTGTCACCAAGCAAAGAAAAAAATGACTTCATTGAGTACGTAAAATGTTCGAAATATAAATGTTGAACATATTTGAAAAATGTCTTGAAGTAGTAGAAAATTACAAATTGAATAAATAACTCACTGTTGTTCTCGGTGAATTAAATTTGATTCGATGTGCGGCAAGTTCAAGGAATGATCTTTAAATAACTGACAAAGTTCGAATGACTTGGTGTTTCAATGCATACTTGTTATAAAATAGTCAAGTCAACAATGTAACAGTGAGAACTATCCAGAATTTTTCCCTCGAATATCAACAATAAATTGGAGCATAAATTCTTGGAAATGAAGCGGATGACACAATAAACTGTTGTGAAATCGCTTCTGCGTTTGTGTTAGTGACTTAAAATGTTGCCTCACTTTGATGTTGTATAAAGTAGTTAATAAGAGCACAGGATAAAACTCCACCATACTTTTGATTCAAACTGAGGTTCACCGCCATATTGTTTTATTTTTATAATTGCAAAGGAATTGAAAATAAGAAATAATGTGACATGGAAAACAGATCACTACATTTTACTAATTTTGAAATAAAGCGGATAAGATGTGGCACATTATGTGAATTTCACATAACATTTTGGGATTTCTTTCAAGCTCTATTGTTTGCAAAACTATAGAGGTCGGAAAGCAAGAAAAAAAAACGTTGTTGAAAACACAATGCTCGTTGAAAATATGGTGGAAAAAATGATGTAATCATTATCTCAAATTAATATTTGAGTTTCTGTGAATTTAAATTTGATGTGATTTTGTGATTGAAAAAAAAAATGTTCACTTGTGCAAAAAATCATGATTTTCAATAAATTTTCTTAGTTTTAATTATTCAATTCTAGAAATCAAAATTACTTACTCTGGTACCGCTTCTTTTTTGTCATCAAAGATTCAAACGTTGTTTGTGGAATGAACGTGAAACGTGAAACTCCGATAAATAATCTAATTAAATAATTTAAAACACCTTAAATTGAGTTCACAATATGAAGAAATTTATCTCAAACGTTGAAAACTTTCAAATTGGAGAAATTGATTTACCACAGATTTTATTGTAATAAAAAATTGTTCTGTCGTGTAGCAATCGTTGCACAAGACTAAATTCTTGGTTCTGATGATGGAATCGTTTTGTCTCTATCTCGTTAAACTATATCCACAAAGTATTAGTATTTCGATAAACATGTGTATGAATGTGTTAAATGAAAAGGGCCACAAAAATCTGCTGACTAATGAATGCTTGGATACGATTTCTTGGCGGTAAGGATTATCACACATACACATTTGCATCAAGTGAAATGAATCTTTTGGATTATGAGTAGAAGTATATTGTTTCATTTGAAAGAGTGTATATTCACATTTACATGCCTTCATGCACCAAAGAGTATGGTGTTATTGAACCAAGTATTCAACTGTATGTCACCGATTGCTTTCTCCATTAATATAAATATCATTTGTGTTAGTATATGTTGTGCATAAACAAATACTGTTGAAGTTTCAATCAGACAGAACATGAAATAAAAAGAGAAAGGAATAAAATCGGCTTCATCAGCGAATTGAATATTCAACACTTTTTCCGTTGACAAAATAACATTCAGAACGATCCAGAATCTGTTAGATCTCCTTATATGGAAAAACACTTGACATTTTTGTAACGAATATGTTGACATTCATATGAAATGTTATTTTTGTCAATTCAATGTAAATTCGACTTTGGGCACTGTATCGCATCCAAAGGTTTGAACATCTCAAGCATCACTTCTTCATCGAGAGTTTATTTTCATTCATTTTTGAGAAGAATCAATAAACATCATTGAATAATATTTCAATGGATTTATTTTCATGTGAGAAGAATATTCTTCGTGTGGATCTATTTCATTTCCCATTTAGAATCTTGTTTAGAAAATTTCCGTTGTTGTCTTATTTGCTGTAAAAAGACAATTTCACCGCATGTTTTTTTCCAGAAAATCGTGTGTTTATTTTAGAACATTTTGGGATCTGCCATCTATAACCATTTAAAACCAATCATTTTTTCTGCATGGACATTTTCTCCAAATAGATAAATTTCTACCAATTTATACTTATTCACGACATTTCTATTTTCTTGTTTTTTCATTCCTCATAAATTTAATGTTGTTATCACCAAATTAGAAAAAAAATACAATTTAACAATATAATTCCCCAATAAGCTTAGAAAATAGCAATTTTTTCAATTTGGTGGCCAAAATATTGAATCAACTACCAATTTACATGTGTTGTGGCTTTTCTATTTCATTCGAAAAAATGCGCGTCAATCAAACGACTTGAATAATGCTCTTACTTGTTGTTGTGTACGAGCGTTGAAGTTGTATTGTTGATTTATTTGACATTTAAGCGTTTGAAATGGTGTGGAAAATGAAACGTTTAGCTTTGTTTCGTTTCTTGACAATTCCTGACACATACGCATAAACTAAAAAAAAGTGAACTTCATTTCAATCACGATTCAGAATAAAAAGGTGACGAAAATAAAAACACAACAAAAAACAGACCATAGAAAATACAACAAATGTTCCATCGTTTCTATTTTGTGTTACATCTGCTGAGTTTTACGCATAAAGAAAAAAGTGTGTTGTAAAAGTAAGAAAAATTGCATGGTGTCGATTAGAATAGATTGAAAACGTTTTTGTTTATATTATATTTTAATAAATGGATTTTGTGCCGATGAATCAAATACGCTGATTCAATAAACAAAATAAAAGGTCCATTGCCTTATAGCGTCGTTTTGTTTATGCAAACCGTATTTATATTGGTGAAAATATTTCGTGTGCGCATTTTTTTCTGTTTCCTGAACTTGACTGTGGCATCGATTCTATATTTGTATATTGTCGGCGTGTTTCAGTAAAAAAAGAGACTATGAACACATATCACTTTGAGTGAACACACCATACAAAAAGGATACAAGTGAGTAGATTGTCTCTCTTCAGGCAACTTGTATATGTAAATGGATTCGTCTTAAAAACATACAAAACGTTGTACAATCGCCAGTTGTATGGCAAATAAGTGGCATTCTCATTGATGAAACATATGTGCTTGGTCACATCCAAATGACAATTCTCAGAAATACACAGAACGCATTGTGCAGCGATGCACTTTGCACCAAATGATATCCAATGTGTTTCGTTTCTTTGTTCAATTTCAAAACTGCCACAGGCAATGTAGATATCGCTTAATAATAAATGAATAGAAATACAGCCAAATATGTACAAAAAATCAAATGTTTACTGTTTTGTAGCGATTGCGGAGGTGTTGAACTCCAATTTAAATCCATTACTTACCACTTATATGCAAATGTTTTTGGTTTTTTTTTTTTCAAAGACGTGTGTTTTTATTGCGCATTGTTTGCCAGAAGCATCTGGTCGCTAATAACATGACGTGTTTGGTGGTCCAAATAAGAAATCAGGCTAATTCGATTTGCGTAACATATGCTTCACACGAGCAAACACATGAACAATACCAGATGAACGTGCCAAACATTGATTTAGTAGAATCTGTGCTCTTTAATGACTCACCTCCAGAATGACTAAACAAATAAAAATCGGGTGCGACAAGATTCTTGTCACAAGAAAATCACTCTCAAAATCTCTAAAATTTCTCTAAATGTCCAAACATGCCTTAGATTTTGCAAATGTGCCATTAGGCGTAATAAATTTACCCGAAAATTGATATTAAATGACAAACATGAACATTGAAAAGACATAAACAAAACGGTTTCTGATTTGCGTTTTTTTCTGATGAATTAAAATAGAGATTCATACATGTACCACAAACAAACCACTCTGATTTATTGGCGGCTGTGAAATTGTCGTCGAATTTTTTTGCGCTCATTCCACACCTAAGCCCCACGAATCTGGCATCAAACCAACAATTTTTGTCGAGATCCATTTTTTTCTATTTTGTATCTCTTTTTCAACTGTTTTGCCTTACGCTACTTTCGGCTGCATTTGTTTGTTCTCGTTCAAACTAATAATTATTAATAAAATATAAACAGCCCATTGAATACAACCGCATATACCATTCGAACAGGAAAAAAAAACGAATGTTGTCGTATACAAGCGATACAAGCGATACAAGCGATGCCGTACATAATAAGCCGCCGCAAATCGGTGTGCGACACCATCACCGATAATTATATCCGAACATGTTTTCGGTACTTTGCTCAATGTGAGGCACATCAAGCTCGCGTTCTTTTTACGTTCTGGCATACATGTACACGACCGAATCGAAGCGGACGAACAAAACGAGCGGAAAATAAAAGCGAAGAAAATCAGTTTATATACGGCACTTGATCGCGTCTGATTTGAAAACGAGAGAAGAGAAAAACGGTACAGCAACACATCGTTTTGCTGACGAAATTAGAGGAAAAAAAAAACGTTTGATTTCGTCAAAGTCATCCGATCGGATATATGAACGGGGGCCAGTTTTAATACACTGTGAACATTCGGAATTTAATTGAGTTTATCTTCTTCTTCTTCTGCATTCTAAAGATATTTTCGTGGCTAATTTATGAAAAATTGGCAGTTTAGTGTGTTGAGCCATTGCTCATGGTCATTTAAATCGATGGATTTGTGGAATTTTATTGTTTTGAATGATCATCAACCGTAAGAATATTGAAGTGATTTAAAAAAAAAAACAGATATTGTGAATTGCTGAGCTAAAAATCAGCTCAAATGCTCTGATTGAAACGCTGTGTGAACAAGGTGATTATGGCATTAATTAAGCAAATATGCAAACAGTCAACAAATGCAATGGTTTTTTTTTTCTTCGTGAAAATATTGAACATTGAAAACGAGAACGAAATAAAGAAAAAAATTCATTTCCCTTCTGCTCGACAGCGCATTCCCTTGTGTATAATAGCTATTCGTATATAGACAAAAATGAAATGTACAGGCTGTATAGTACAGTAAAACTGCGCTCACAAAATCGCTTCATTTCTTCATATTTAAAGTTGAGTGTCAAGCATGTGTGACTCTTTAGGCATAACAGAGTTATAGCATGCACGAGTCAAAGCCGAAGTTAACAAAAATAGAATTGGGAATGTGTGTGACGGAATGAAAGATAAATATGTATACATAGAGAATGGCTGCAAAAGACAAGACAGCCTAAATGGTGATAGAGGAAGCAAAAAAAAAAAAAACAAAAAATGTGCGTTCATTGTTGTTATTAAAAAAATTTGCGATGGAGTCATTTCAACCAAATATTTATCTATATATATTTGTAGATTCGCGTGCCAAATATTTCTTCGGAATGGTTTCCATTCAAACAAAATTACGAGCAAATATTTTATGGATGCATTTATTAAGTACGAACATATTTGTCACTTGCAGTGGCTAAAAACAACGTACTGAGTAATTAGAAAAGACAAAAAACCGACTGCACTTTGCACCGATATGACTAATAATCACCATATCGGACTAATTGAGACTATGTAATCATGTGTGAAAATGATTTAATACACAAATAATAGATGAGCGCCACAAAAATCGTGAAAATCCCAATGAAAATTTGAGATAGAGAAAAAGTAGATTTTCTTAGAAAGAAATGATTTGATTTATTTTCGTTTCTTCTAAGAAAAAAGTTGTTGATTCTTAGATGTATGGTTATTAGAGCAAAACAAGCTCAAAATAGTCACTGTTTTCATTTTGGCATACCGTTTTTGTTTGTTTGTTTCTTTTATTTTGTTAGAGAGAAATAACGAACGCGCACTATGGAATCGTATACTGTGCAAGCGGAATATTCATTTCAAGGCGAAAACAATGATGAATTACGTTTTAAAAAAGGCGATATCATAACGGTGACACAACGAGAGGATGGCGGTTGGTGGGAAGGTACCCTGGATGGTACGACGGGATGGTTTCCAAGCAACTACGTCAGAGAATACAAAGGTAAATGAACACAGGAATAAGTAAAAAATGCGGTGTAATGTACAAAAGTTTCCGTACATTTAATATCCTGATGTAATTTAATATTCACTCTCTGACTTTTTATTTCTCACACGCTCATTTCACAGCTTCATTACCATTAGACGAAGAAATTCGTAAACCGGAGGAAATAAAAGAATCCAGACAAGTCGTGCTCAACGATTTACTGGAAAGTGAACGAGCTCACGTAGCTGAGATTCGCGGTTTGTTTGAAAACTTTTTAGAACCACTGCAATCAAGTCAAATGTAAGTAGTCAACGGAAATTGGATACACATACACAATTTTGAAATGAAACCAAATACACTGTTGCAAATGAATGTGAAAAAAACCAACAAAACTTTTTAATGAACATGTTTGTCGTGTTTTATTGTTATTTGCAGCGTGACTGCCGACGAATATGCACAGTTGTTGGGAAATTTTGTGGAAGTTGTTGAAACACACGAAGAACTACTGACAGCAATGGAAAATAGCAATGACCGTATCGGAAAACTATTTTTATCAAAGGCAGCCACAATGAAATGCATTCATCAAGCATATTGTGCAGCCCATCCGCGTGCAATTGTTATTTTAGACAAGCACAGCGAACAACTTGAGGCATATATGGAACGTCAAGGAGCCGCGTCGCCAGGATTATTGGTGTTAACTACAGGCAAGTTCATTGATTTCACATTTTTCACTGAAGAAAAAAATCAATTTTTCAAGATTTTTCATTGAAAATCAAAAATTCGATTTTCCAAGTCCAATAATGAAGAAATGAACATTTGTTTGTATAGGTTTGTCAAAACCATTCCGTCGGCTCGATAAATATGCAGCCATGTTGCAAGAACTTGAGAGGCACATGGAATCCGGCCACCCAGATCGTGGTGATACACAACGAAGTATATCCATTTATAAGGATATTGCGGTAAGTTTGGTCGCAATTTGCAAAACATTTGATACCGTCACAATACTGTTTGGTCTTAACTTTTAAATTGACGTAATGGAAATATCAATATTATCTTATCGGGAACTTTAAAATGAATGAGAAAAGTTTTTAATGAAATGTTTGTGATTAACTAACGCTACTTTGTTGTTACAGTCAATGTGTTCGGCGACACGACGTCAAAAGGAGTTAGAGTTGCAGGTGTTGACTGGACCAGTGAGAAATTGGCAAGGTCAAGAATTGAGTACATTAGGTGATATAATTCATATGGGAAGTGTTGCAGTTGGACCAGACCATCGTGATCGATACTTTGTTCTCTTTCCCCATACACTGCTTATCCTATCTGTAAGCCAACGGATGAGCGCCTTCATTTATGAGGTAAACTTTGGTTCTTTTTTTTTCTGATGAAAATCGATTTTCAGTTCATTACTTTATTTAAAAATGGATGATGCCAATCTATATTTAAGTTTCTCTTTGTTCAATTTTCAAAAGTTTTTTTTTTAAGTTAATTTTTTATTGTTTTCAGGGGAAATTGCCATTAACCGGAATCAATGTGAATCGATTGGAAGACACCGAGACGATAAAAAATGCGTTCGAAATCAGTGGACCGTTAATCGAACGAATAACAGCCGTATGTCAGGGTCCAAATGAAGCAAATAAATGGGTTGAACTGTTGTCACCAGATCCGATTGCCTCATTCAAACCAAAGTCACATGAATCACTGAAAAATATGATGAGCAATTCAGCGATGTCATCGCCAATTCATGTAAGTAATTCCGATTTATTTCTGGCATTCAATTATTCACAGAAAAACTTTTTATTTTTTCAAAATTACATAAAAATGGTTAAAAAAATTAAAAAAAAAAAAACAGAAAGAGAATTTACTCGATATACGTGGTTATTGTGCCCGCACATCGATGTGTTTTTATAGTCTCGGTGTTCCAAACTATAAAATAACTTATCCACCAAAGACATATCCCTCGACAGCGTCGTATACAAGTCTAACAAATCACTTCAAAGCATTGGTTAACGATGGTTTAATGCATCGATTAGTTGTAAAAGCATTATTGTATCCAGAGTTCCATCGGCGATTCAATACCGAAAAAGTTCGTTTGCGTCGACATCATCGACAAACATCGATGCGACGACGCCAATCGATTTGTACATCAAGTGATCTCTCGCGTCAAGAATCGGAATCGAATGATGCATGTGATACATCGGCCACGAGTTCGATTGGTTTTGTAAAATATGCGGTCAGTAAACAGTCCGACCTCACCTCATCGACGGGCACCTTTGTTGACAATGGCATTGATGCCGATTGTACACGTGAAATATTTGCGAATTTAGACAGTTCAAAATCGAATTTGGGTCGAATGCCCGTTGTCCGTGATTCCGATGGGAGCATCATTTTTGCACATGCCATTGATTGTGATATTGGTAGCAGGGATTCGTTGCAGTATTATTCAAAACCGGTAAAAGTAGTGATTGATCGTCGAAAAATGTCGGCGGTAAATAGTATTGTGCATACAACAACCGCTCAAATGGTCATCGGATCGAAAATTGATGAAAAAAACGATGACGAAATGATTTCGATGAACAAAGGTAGCCCATCGGAGGAGTCAGAACTATCGAGCTATAATCAACGTTCGTTGCGAGCAAATATGGCATGTGAAGATCTCGTTAATTTGGATGAATCGATGAAAATTAAAGACGATAAAATGGAGTTAAGTCGAAAAGGTCTAACGGCAACAGCAATGGATGAACGACACAGTATGCCAACGCTATTTGTTGGTAATCGTTTTAATTGTTCATCGCTGACCGAAGTGTTCATTCCATCGTACCGAGATAAGATCGATTTGAAATATGCAGAGAGTACATCACAAAATTCAGAATTTAATGATGATGATAACAACAATCGACATTCAAATGTTTCAACAGCAACCCATTCCAGTTCGATTGACATCGCTCCACTTGTACCGGCTCCCGATCAACTGTCCGTCGAATTGCTTTATAATTCACATGAATCAGCAGCAAATCAAAATAATCGTGGCTCCGAACATGTCATAAAGCCACCCAGCATGTTTGGAGCGAATCGAACGTTGAGCAGAGAGCTGAATTTGAAGACAAACATCAAACGTTGCACCAGTTCGCAAATGATAAATTTACAAAATGACGCGCAATCAAAATCAAACGATGGCAAATCGATGCCAAAAAATGTGATGAAAAAATGTGGTTGTTGCACCGAATCACCGTGCGTTAGTCAACGTTCAAGTGATTCGGGTATGGCTGGCAGTTATACGATTCAATTAACACCCGAAACACCAATACCAAATGCTAGCAGTCAATATGATCAACAGTTTTTACCCGACATCGAACAACGGCTAAACGGACTGATGCACTCAAAAAGCTCACACGTATTTGGACATTTTGATAATATACCATTTGCGGACAGTGGCCATGATAGCGGTCAGTACGGTTGCAATGAAGAATCAGAAAGTGAACTAAATCGTGATTCGGCAGCCGCCAAGAATATGTTTGAACTTTCATCAAGTCAGGATACAGTTCGACGCAAATCACGATGTCAAAGTGTTGAACCACCGACGACGGAACGAAAGGATGACGATGATGCGCATCATGGATCGCTGGCCATGTACAAAACCGGGCTGTATGCACATTGGTGGAAAAAAGAGCAACTACCAACGGGCATGTTAAATGACATTATACGCATGAAAGCGAATATACAAACGACACACAAATCAACTGTTGATAATGGTAGCAGGGGTTCAGGCAAGATTCAATTGTCTCTTTAAACGTGTGTGTTATTGTGTGGCATATCATATTTTTTTTTATTGTTGTCGTTGTTGTTAACAAACAATCAAACACATCATTTCAGTGCACTTTATTTATTTTCTCATTGCCACGAGTTTTTATTTGCTTGAGTTTTCTTTCTATCTCTCTTTTGTCAAAAATCATCTCTACATTCTCTCATCATCATTTGATTATATATAAACAAATCATGTATTTCATTTGTTTATTTCAGCAAACTAACTAAGCATATCATCAATCATCGTAATCAGCCTGAGCCCCTTTGCGATTTTATTAAATTGATTCAAATACAAAAATAATCAGTAAACTGATGCAAGCAGTCATACAGCACGATTAAATTATATAATTAGTTTACTAATCGAAAAGAAAGCATTCAAATTGTATTAGCTAACAAAATGTTGAATATCATTTTAGGCTAAGATTTTTTACCTTTTCCCGCACACCTAGTGAAGGGAAGGGTATTTCTTTTTTTGAAAACTCCTCAATAAAAGGAGAATCAGTTAGATAGTTGAAAAAGCAATCATTATTCAGCACTAATCGTGATATCAAATTTGTTTTTACAGACAGCAACTCACGCAACAATCAACAACATCGGACAAATGAGTCGCGGAACATCGGCAACAATGCAACAAACATCACAGCACAAACGCAGCCTGTCATTCAATCATCACCTCAGCTACAATCAGTACAGCAGCCCGAACAACAGCATCAACGCCGCCACATTAAACCACAAACAAATGATCGATCCGATTCTACAACAACACGTACAACTGCGAGAGAAACCAGACCAACCGGTGGCACCAGGCCCAAAGATTAGTGTTAAAGGTGTGACCATTTGTTTTATATTTTATTGAGACCTTGGCACATTTTTGGATCATTGATGTCTTTTGAAGAATATCATTTTATTCAGAGCTGTTATGGGCACCACGGAGGCACGTTTTTTGTAAGAGTCGGTCCACGGAGAATTTCACGTGCGTCGCTTGAAAGGTCGCATGGATTAGGTGCGGGAACTCAATAGATTTCGCACTTTTGCGGACTTTGTGGTGCCAATAACAGCTCTGAATTTTATCTCCTTCGATAATCTAGTCTAATATAATGCTGACAGTGTCATTCTTCATTCTAACCTCTGAATGGCATCGATTTTAAATTCTAAAATGTAATAATCCATTTTCTCCATTCCCAGCCAATTGGAGTATTGTGAATTTACGTCCATCTCCACCATTACGTCCAACTTTGATAAATTCCAATTCATCTTCCGGTGCAAGCAACGGTGCTGTTTTGGCCAATACAAAAAAAATCCAACCAACCTATGAAGAAGATGCTCTTGTTTTGCGTGTTATCGAAGCTTACTGTACTGCATATCAAAATCCAACTCGAAATGCCTTGCATTCAGGTTAGTTCACATACATTTATCTTTTGAACTTAGATTTCGAATAATATTTTGATAAAAAAAATTAGGTTATGGTTTGATATTTTTATATATGTAGAGATATTGATAATGAATGAAGGCACATTTTTTTTCTCATGATACATTTCATCAAACATTATTTTACATAATAAATCAAAACATATCGAACGCACACAAACACATACCAAAACATTTCTTCAATATCAATTTTTCATATATATATTGCCACATTTTTTTTTTGTCATCACACATTGCACCCACATTCATATTCCTCACGAAAAAAAAAACAATGCATGCAAATGGGAATGGTTTTTTGGTTCATTTTTCTTCTTTTCGTTCACGTATGTGGTTATATGATGATACAAACAAAAAAAATTCTAGTCAAATTACTAACACATAGAAAACAGTTCAGGAAACCAACTGAACAACAGCAATAAAATTGGAATTTGTAATGGAAAGTTTATTTTAAAGGTTTTGGCATTATTTTTTATGTTTTAAACCAAATTTAATGGGGAATTATTGTAAGTTGCTTTACATTTGATATGTTTTTCGTGAATTTTAAAACTTTTTTCTTTCAAACGGTTATGTCAAATGAATAGTAATCACAATAATCCCCACAAAAGCAAGACAGAGGCACATTATTTCTAACGATATACCCACATCAAAAGTTGTCTTGTGATCGTAAAAAACAACCAAAATACACGTTTACGCAATTTATCGATCCTTTGAACAGTATTAATAACGCTTGAGGCGTTACGCTTCAAATGCAAGCGATTTATCGAAAGAAAAAAAAATCATCCCATAATTGTAACACTTGAACATTTGATCATTAAAATTGGTTGAAAGAATTGGCATTTAATAATTTAAAAAAATAATAATATCAAAATTCATCATGGAATCACCATAATTTGGGAAATTAGAAAAAAAAAAACATCTGAAAATTGTGAAAAAAGTCTGGCAAATCAAATGATCAACGCAAAAATTAAAACATCATTCTCGACCTCATACCATCGCATTCCATCTCTGTTCCGTCATCAAGTGTTTCATCAGCAAACGTTTCAAACCAAGTGATTTATTTGATCCGAACTTCTCAAATCAATGATTTGTCAAATATTTTGTTGATTTGGTCCAACTCAAATCAAATCATACGATGAACAATCCAGGAAATATTTTGAATGAGATGTCAAAAAATGTGTATGATTTTATTTAAGTTTTTTCAAATTAAATTACATAAAATATGTCAAATAAATTGATTTGAGCTGCTCACGTCAAATGATTTATTTGATTTGAATACATGACTTGTTGATTTGTCAAACATCTGATCTCAAATCTGATAACCCTGAAATTCAAATTTAACACACATACATTCATCCAATACATCCTTCTGATTATGTTTTGAGATATTTTCGTTTTTCATTTTATTGGCTCAAAAATCCAAATGTTGCACGGAATTTTTCTTCCAAACAAACCGTACAAAATCAATAAAAAAAGAAACAAACTTCCTAGTCTTATTGAAATTAAAACTTTACAAACAAAAATGATCACATTGACACATTTATATATATAAAATACCCGACATGCACCACCTTTGTCACATCCAATACAACAACAACCACCACCACAACCACAAATTGAATTATAAAAAAAAAACATAAGCAGCTCTGCAACCATGGACGCCTTGCCTACCGATTCGGGGTGGAAAGCTGAAAACCACAAAAAATTACTCAACATCAAATCCACAGCTGTCATTTTCATCGTGCGCATCAAACGCATACATGCACAACAATCGAACGGGCAATACGTCGTGCAACAGCCTAAATTCATCGTACATATGGCGTGAAGCAAGTCCGAATAATTTTAATTTGTATTCATCGTCGGTATCGTCGCTAAATGCGAATGGAGGACCAAATATTTCGGCGCCAACAAGTGTCTCAAATTCACCGTACCGTTATTCGATCGGATCGAATAGCCGTTCGCCCGAATGGCGTTCAGTGTCCGAAGAGAAAACAATCAATCCCAATAAAAAAACGTTGGCCAGCAAATTTAAAGGAGCATCGTCACATTATGAAAATGTCTATATGACACCGTTGTTACCGCATCGAAAAAATAAACAAACCGTAAAAATTGTAAAAAATTCACAAGAAAATGTGTACATGCAAAATGTTGGCAGACGTTTATCAAATGATACCGATTTAAGTGATGATCCAATGCCATACGGGCTATATGATCGACGCACGAATCGATCGTTTGAGGCACCATCACGCGATATGATACGCCCAATCGATTCAAATCACGTGCATTTACGACGATCAACACCACATTTACTCAGCGACGACATTTATGCGGATGGTGACCAAACCAGAAAATCCAAACGACATTCGGCCACATGGTGTTGCGGCAATTTTATGCTGAAACAGTGGAAGAAAGTTCATCAATATGACTAGAAAACTGATATAAAACACTTTTTTTTGTATACGCGAACGATGGCATTTCGACGACTGAAATTGAAACTTTCTGGTAAAACTTAGTTTGAAAGGAAAATATTGTATTTTATATACAAACTTGATTTTATTATTATTCCTTTTAGTCTGCTTTATATATGAACAAAAAAAATAAGACTATAATTGTTTGCCATCTCAACCTTTTTTACTCAGATATTATAATTGTAACCATTGTGTATATACGTATACATAGATTACTCCTCAAGCTCGGTTTATTTTAATTTACTTGTTTTTGAACCCATTTTATGTTCATTTAATTGTAAATATACGAAACAATATTTTAAGTGCCATCGTCGGTCGGAATCCAATAGAGAAGGGGAGAGAGAGAGAGAAATCGACATGCATTCATCGTATTGTGATCAATAATTTGCTATATCTATTTATTTTTATACAACTGGAATGTATGAGCTTACTATTTTTTACCGACCGCACACATTAAACTTTTTTTACCAACCGAGATTGAATGAGTTTTTAATAATACAAAGTGAGCTGAATTTGAATGCATTCTACAACTGGACAGGGAGGGTAGATATTATGACCAGAGACTGTTTCTCAGAGCAATAAATGCGGGGTGGAGCTCAGTTCTCCTCAGTGAGGAACAAAATATTAAAAGTTAAAAAAATAATTCAAAAAAGCCGTGCTCCTCCAGCTCCTCAAAACGCTCCACCTTACATTCATTGCTCCGAGAAGCAGTCTCTGATTACACGCAAACAATTCAACACCAGAAAAATATCAATTACATAATCTAGTTTTTCAACGGCATTTTTTACGTTAGATTTGGAGTCATTTTATTTTCACAAAGAAAAAGAGCTCTTTCACTAATAATCGTCACCTAATGCTGATAAGTGCCGAAAAAAATGTATTAATCTTCAAATCGAGTGCAACCTGAAACCACACAGGCTCTGCTTCAAAAATTTGCTCGAAAAATATACCAATGAGATTATCTTGTATTATGATGCCAATACAGCTGTTGTGCTATTTAAAAAATTGAAATTGCTTTGCAAACAAGTTTTCTCTCAATTCTATCTATTTATTTTTTGATGAATGGGATGTTGGATATATTACTCTACAAATAAGATTAAAAACCAAAACATAATACTCCAAAGGATCAAAACCACTCGAATCAAAATACTGAATGAAAACGAAAAAAAGCTGTATCGTCTATAAATAAACTTTGAAATTTGACAACAACAACCTATAAATATATATATTAACGGATTGTATCACTTTGTTGTTGCTATTTTTGTCTATTTCTGTCAAAATGTATTGAATGGAAAAAAAACGAGAAATTAAGTTCGATGAATGTGCTATTTAATAGAGATTACACCATTTTTTTCTACAATTAATATAGTAATAATATTACCTAAATACCAATTAGAATGATTTTGTTGTAGAATTTAGTAGCCATTGAACTTTTTTTGTAATTTAATTTATTTTAATATTTTTTTATAAAGTATTATTTTTTGTCGTACATTTGAAATTGTATAGACCGTAGTTTGATTTTGTTTTTTTTTCTTTTTACAAAAAGAAGCCATATAAGTAAAAAAAATTGTTGTGACTATATAAAGAAAACCGTTTGAATAAATCGATGCCAAAACTAGTGGAAATAAATAAATGTTTCTTCATTTCACGTGGGTTATAGTTTCTCTCCATTTTTTTGGCGCAAAACATGGAGGTACAGTTTCTCGTGGCTTACGTTATTATCGATGTTGTTTTTTATAATTTCACATAAAAATGCCATTAAGTACTAGTTAAATGTATTGCAATTGCTCAAACGAGCATTTCACTTTGTAAAAATGAGTTGTTGTTTTGCTTGGCCTTGTATTTGGATGAAATCGGCGAGCTCTAGATCGGCTGCAATGCTTACGTGATTTCTGTCTTTGTTTTGCTTAGTTTAGATAGTAGTTGTTAGTTGTCCGAGTCACAATTGTGCGACGCTGTGGTTCGGCAACTGTAAATTTTGAGCTTGTGAGCAAATGAATAACATTGTAATAGGCGAGCAGGCATAAATGTTTTGTTGTAGCTTTATTGTGTAAATGTAATTTAGAATTTAGCCACACCAAATAGGCGTTAACAACACACTTCCAATAAAATTGTAACTATAAATTTCCCACATTTTTCCTTCCATCACACAACAACACACTTATGAATGAATCAACCGACAAAAAAAACACACAAACACACACACACGTACACTGAATGTTACAACAGGCCTTGAAAATGAGGACATGACACCGACACTCAAGCAAATTTGGGTTGCAGTACGGCAATTGCAGCAGGATATGAACCAAATTAAAATTCAAGTCAACGAAGAACGCGCTCTACGCAGCTACTTGCAACAATTACTGATGGGGCATCTCGAAGGATTGAGCTCAACCAAAAATTGCTAATTGCCAAAAAGAACCACCACTCAATAAAGCATCACTGTTATAACGACAACAACAACGATTCATATCAAGAAAAAAAAACAATTTGGATGTCTTTCAATTTTTTTTATTGCGTCGTCGTCGTAATCGTTATATCTTGAATGTATGTGTAAATGTTTTTTATTGTAACAATGAATCATATACAAGTATATAATATAAAGAAATCATATATGTAATTCGGGTCTAAGTGTGCCTTAGTCTTCTAAATATTTCAATTAAACGATTATACAAATATCGAGATTTGAACATCATCAGATACAACCCAAAAGTAACATTTAAAATTCGTATGAAATTTGTTGTTTTTTTCTTTTTGCGTGCTTTGTTTTTAAATTTTTCCGATGCAAGTATATTTAAGACGAATGAAATGTGTAGTATCGACGTGCAACAAGAGCGATTCGATGTGCAACGATTAGCTAGAGACATTTCGCTATATAAATGTTATGCATATTATTACACGCACTTGTTAATCGTCGGTGAACAATTTGGATTTTAATAACGTGATGTTAATTCTTTTTTTTCGTTCACCCGAATATCTTTGCATAAATCGTAAGAATGTATTTATCAAAAAAAATGACGATGAATGTTCACTATCCCAAACAGATGATGAAGATGATCGATTGTATTTTGTAGTACAAAGTAGATAAAATGATATTTAATACAAACAAGTTTTCAATTGTAATCTAAATGTATTTTCATGTTTATAACAATAATATTTCAAAAGTGATGGGTTTGATATTATAAAAAAATGAATGACATTTATCTTCAGTATAAAAAAATGAATGACATTTATCTTCAGTATAAAAAATATGCATTTTTCTTTCCAAATTTCAACAAAAAAAAACTCCGAACCGTTTTTTAGGGAGGTTTCGATGAGCTAATCTTAATAATATTAACAGCTTGCATGTATTTTGGGTATTTGGCTGCTATTTTAATTGCTCATTCAATTAAGGCCAAATAATCACAATTGTTACACATCAAATTGAGCGTCGACTCAAATGGATCCAGGAAGAATATCAACCTTGAGACACATCTTTCTTCGTGCGACGATACGAAAAATTGAACTTTTTTCGAGAAATCTTCCAACGATCTATTGTAGGTTTTTCTGGAAAATTAAGGAAATTGGAAATTAGATAAAATAGACGAAACACCAAAAAATGAAGGAAAAAATTGAAAATATTTTTCTCGATCTAACAAACCATTTTCCGAAAATTCGGAAATTTTTCCAACAAGAATATTCGGAAAATTTTCTTGGAAAAATTCACGAATTTTCGGAAAATCGTTTGTTCGATCGGGAAAAATATTTTCAGAAAATGGTCCTGTACTCAATGAAGTAAGTTTAAGAAGCAAAATGCCCCCAAAAATATGAGAGAATTTTGAAAAAATCTTGCCCGAAACTGACGAAATTTAATAAAATCGTCCAAAAATGTTTGAAACTTACCGAAAACCGCAAGTACAATGCAACAAATGATCGGTGATGTGTAATTCAGAGAGTTGACAAATGGGGCACATAACCAACAACGATTTTGGGTCGCCCAATAAATCGAGATTGTTTGACTGTTCGTACTGTTCAACCATCCTGAGAAAAAACAACCAATAATACCTCGAATAAATATTTGTAAAATTTCCCAAAAAAAATATTTGTGTTTACCATTGATATTGTTCTTCGATGAGTTCCTTTAACATTTGATCTTCCAATAGTAAGTCCAGTTCAATTTCTGTAAGTTCACCCTTCAATACGTCGGTGAGCCATTGCTAAAATTCCGAACAAATGATTAATATTTTGATGTGTCATTTTCTCATCTGAATTCCGGTACCTTTTCATTTTCCAAAAATGTACGTGACACATCGAATTTATTCTGACGCGATTCCCGAACACGAATTCGGCATTTCTACAAAAAAAAATTGCTTTTAAATTACGAAAAATGGATATATCTATTTCAAATCGCATACTTCTCGTAACATATCGCGCAATTTATCGGTCGTTGTTTTGTGCACCAACGAACCAAAGTGTTTCTTTGTTTTTGGAATTTCCAATTCCATTAGTTTTTGTTCTTCCATTGTTTGCTTTCTAGTGCAACAAGTGATTCAATACAACAATAGCTCGTATAAATTAACGATAAAAAATCCAAAAGAATGTAATGACTTATCGCACTTCAACAACGAAAAAAAAATCCGGTTGAAAAAATTTGATTTTTCAAATGTGAACAAACCAATAAGACTGTGTTTTAATTTAGCTTGAACGACGTTTAAATGTCAACTTTGCGCGCCCAACACCGCATCGTTTGACAGGACAAAATATGTACATTCATTTTTTCTCATTTGAGGTTAGTTTACCACACACTGATAACTCTCGCATACCATCGTACCGTGATGCGGCTGTAGTGGTGCGATTGAGTTTAAACGTAAGTCTGTATATGTTTTATGTCAAATTGAATAGTCTTCACAGCAACTAGTCAATAGAAATGGGAAAATCGAAAACGTATTCAGTAGGCACGGACACTGCAAGCAGAGCACATCGTTAAGAAGCAATTACACAGACGTCTGTTTAATTTTTATTATTACTTTTAAAATTCATCGACCGTTTAAAATCAATTAAAATTCGATTTGCGGAAAAAAGACCGATCAACGCCTTCAAATTGAAAAATTCGAAAATTAAACGAAAAAAAAAACGATCACTCCGTATATATTTATTTTGAATCGTTCAGGCAACATACACAGAGTGAATAACAAAAATATAACTGTTAACTTGAAATATTGCAATCGTATTCAATTCCAATTGCATTCGTTCGCGTTAACGTCTGCCGTATTCAAAACGGAGCGATTGAGTGTTGATTCCATTACGACCACACTTGAAGTTTGTGTGTACTGCGACCATTTCAACATTACCGAATCAAAACTAACATATCGACATACAAAATCTCAATTTGTCAACAAAATACGAACAATTTCAATAATATTCGAAAATTGAAAAAAAATTCCACATAGAGTGAGTAGTTGCTACTGCGGCGCGACGACAGTCAAATAACGAGTATATCACACAGTCAGCGCGGTCCATGTGAATTGTCGGTGTCGCTCTGTGGAGCGCGCGCCCTGTACCATTGTGTGAGTGTTGCACAGTGTGACAGTATCACATCCAATCTTATGAATTGAGTGTAGATGTGTTTGTGTGTGTGTACGATTACCGAGAATGGAACATTGATAGAGCGCTTTACATCACTTGGCTCGCATACCGTGTGTGAATGTTCGCACGACCAGAAGCAACGGAGAGGCGAGCAACAGTACAACAAGCAACAGAATTCTTCTCTTGTGTGGAACCGAATAAACAAGAAGAAGAGGAAGAAAAAAAATAATACACAGTGTCTTCTCTACTTTCTATTAGTAGTGTAATATCATTCAGTGAGTGCGAGAGTTGAGCACAGTGCAGTGTGTATGAGTGTATATGTGTATATGTGTGTGAACTATTCTATACAATATATACTGAATATGCTCAAGGTGTTTCACATAGAACAGAGTATTAGCAAAAATTTAACCAAAGCTAATTCATCGATGTATATGACAATTCTTACGTTCGGGTTCGGCTCTTAAACACCGTTTTCAAATAATTAATTTCATCATTTTTTTTATACACAACAAAAATTGTTTATTCATTTACGCGATAATGGAAATACAAAAAACCCCATCGAAACTATTCACATTGTCATCGATCGATTTAAAGGATGAGATTGAAGAGGTAATATTCATAGTGTTGTATGTGTGTTGTGAACAATGCGACAAAAGTGTGCTTTGAATAGGAAAAATCGAATCTCATGAAGGGATTCCCAACCAACAACAACATCAAAAAAGAGTTCCCTTCTTGAGTCCGGATCGGGATACATATTGAGATGTGTATGAATTTGGCGTAAAGAGACAGTTCAGTCGCCATTTTTGTTTTGCTTGTACAAGCAAACATAGAGAGAGAGAGAGAGCTTTAATATAAAAATCGCCCATCCGAATACTGATCTCTCTGTGTGTGTTCGATAGTGTATGCGCGTGTTGTGCACATGTACAACGACTATATTCGTTGTGTGTGTGTATATATATATGACATCTATTCGAAATGTGTTATGAACCGCGTTGGTGCTTTCGGCCACAAAAATGCGCAAATTTTAAATCGGAAGATTGCACAATTTGTTTATTTTATTTCGACGATTTCATCAACGAACATTTTTATTGGTATATTTTGAAAAAGAATGAAAAAATGTTACACGTCCGAAGCGATTAACTTGTCAAAACACACTTTTTGTTTGAAATGTTCATTTTTTAGATTTTGTTTTTCTTGCAAGTCGTTCATTAACCCCTTTTACATGAAAAAAATTAATTGACATTTTTTTTCTTTTTTTTTCTTCCGCTTTCCGACAACAACAACAACAACAACAGAAATACGAACGCTCATATCAACACATACAACAGTTAACAGCAACTCTAAGCGATAAGGAATATCATGATTTACTCAGTAACCTTATATGTAAAGAAAAAAGCCACGAAGAAGTGTCACTTGCGTTAATTTATCAAATATTAACCGATCCAAATGCAGCACCAAAAACCTACCGTGATTTAACATTGCTCAATCGTGATGGTTTGGCATTTGTAACAAACAGTCTATCATTATTGGTTAGCGAAAAATATACAAAATTTTCGGAAATTGCCCGACGTCAATTGTTATGGTTGTTACGTGAAATGGTAAAAAATCAAATATCAAATGCGGATAGTGTTGTATGGAATGTGCTGCGACAGGCGGGCGGTGGTGATTTATCACAAAAGAATTTAGCTTTAATTGATGGCTTATTGGACATTCTAACTGAGCATCGTCAATGGTTGGATAAGCATCCATTTTTGATAAGTGCCGTTGTCTATACATATGTACGCTTAATTGAGGACCATCACAGCAATGGGCTGGCCAATTTACGAAACAAAGAGGTGAAATTTGTCATTGCATTGATACGTGATCGTTTCAATGAGGTGGTGACAATTGGACGTGATTTTGTACGTTTATTACAAAATGTGGCACGTATTCCGGAATTTGAGCAATTATGGAAAGATATTTTACTGAATCCAAAGACTTTATCGCCAACATTTACGGGCATCTGGCAATTTCTACAAATTAGAACAAGTCGACGTTATTTACAATGTCGTCTCACCCCGGACATCGAACGGAAATTAATTTTTTTAACGAATAACGTAAAATTTGGACAGCACAAACGTCATCAGGACTGGTTTCAAGACAAATATTTTACAACACCCGAATCTCAAAGTCTGCGCTCCGATTTAATTCGATTTATTATCAATGTGATTCATCCGACCAATGATATGCTTTGTTCCGACATTACACCACGATGGGCGATTATCGGTTGGCTGTTGACCTCATGTACAAATCCAATTGTATTGGCAAATGCAAAATTGGCACTTTTCTACGATTGGCTATTTTTTGATCCGCAAAAAGACAATATCATGAATGTGGAACCGGGTATTTTGGTTATGTACCATTCGATACGAACGCATCCATTTGTTAGTAGCTCATTGTTGGACTTTTTGTGTCGAATCATTAAAAACTTTTCACCAAAACATGAAGACAAAATTCGAACGGGCGTTTATAATTCGCTACGGAAAATTCTCGAAAAACAGGTAAATTTATCGAAAAAACACTACTAATAAATGACACTAAATGAATGTTTTTTTTTTGTTACTATCAGGTCATACCAAATCTTCAGCCATTATTCGAATCACCGAAACTGGATCGTGAATTAAAGACTTTGGTGCGTGATACTTTCCGTGAATTTTGCAGTGGACCTCAACCGAGTGAATTTCCCGCCGATATTCCAAATCAACTTAATAATATTGGCGGTATCGGTGGCATTGGTCTTGGTCTTGGTATTGAAGATGGTCGACCGGCAATTAATAGTTTTGGCAATGAAAATGATGCACGCCCGCCGCTTAACCGAGTGGACAGTTCGAGTGACAACGAAGTTGAAGGCAAATTTAGTGATGACGAAGACGAAAAAGAAAGCGCAATCAAACAAGAAGAAACCGACGATGATGACGATTTGCCATTGTCAAAGGTGCGACTTAAAGAGAAACCGACACCAGAGAAAGTGCAATTACCCGCAGCGATAAATACATCATTTGATAAATTTATGAAATCAAAAACCAACAGTACCTTTGAAGTATTCTTAAATGATTTGCGAACGTGTACGAGTAGTTTGGACAACGAACAAGAAACCTATTTGGTGGATACATTGGCGACAACGATAAAAGATACATTGCCACCGTTGTCGAATGTGTTTCCCGAATCGAAGAGCGATGAAAAAGTACTAGCCCAATCGATTGGCTATCCATTGTTTAGCCTATTTAAAGTGATGTACCAGTATGAGGAAAAATGCAAAAAATGTTTCAATAATATCATAAAATTAGTTACAAATAAATTACCGATGATTGGATTTACGTTGCTGTATTTCCTAAAAGTGCACACCAAACTGCAATCACGAAAGAATCCAAACAGTAATGTTGCATTCAAAGTTAGCCTATATAAAACATTATGTGATTATTTAGATGAAAAACTGGACGACCAGTTGGTTAAAGATTTGGAATCGCTTGAAATTGAACGAACTAGCATTTTTTTATGGATACTGCCCGACATTTTTCGTGAATTCAATTCAATCATGGTTAACAATAAGGATGTATTGAAATTGTTGGTCAGTTGCATTGATTCAAAGAATCAGCGTGATATTATCTATAGCATAACGCAGGGAAAATTGACCATATTCAAAAATGATGGTGTACTGGAATGTGTACGTGAAAGTCTCAACTACGAAACATTTGAGCAATTATTTTTGTGGCAGTTAGTACAAGCTCACGATGTGCCTATTGAATCATTGCAGGTAATTTGAATGATTTTTCTTTTCAACTTGGCAAACAATCAATATGACATTCTCAAAAAAAAAATTCTTTTTTTGTCTGTAGGAACTTTTGCCTGAATTAGAATCATCGAATCATTCGGAAGCCTTGACATATATGCTACTTTTATTGCGAAATGAAGAACCAACAACAGAATTGATTCGATTGCTATTGTGTCGAGAGGCGAAATCACGTGGTGATCCATTCGTGACCTCAGTACTTAGGTGAGTTTTGTCTATATTTTACATCAATGGTAGAAAAACAATATCTAAATGTCTATTTTTGTCTAAATTACAGATCTTGGTGTCAAGATTTTGAGGAGAAGCTATCGGAAATTATTGCCAATTTGTTAATATCGAAATACCAAAATAGTTCACCAAATAAGCGAAAACGTTCGTTGAAAAATAATTCAACACAAAATACGGCGCCAACATCCGATCAGGTAAGAATCATCAACCCACACACAAAACTAAAATATGTCACATTACATGATAACACAAAAGAATTGACCGATTACATGCTATTTTTAGCTGCTATGTCATTTGGAACATTTTCGGCGAAGTTGTCGTCATGGCAACGGCACTGGAACCGGATTATACGTACAAGATGCTATGCAACGTGCGTTACAACAGGCTTTCTCCAACAGCAGTGACAGCACAAAGGTATTTTTAGATTAACGCATGACGAGTTCACATCACCGACTGCTAATCACAAAATAAGTTTTTTTTTTTTAATATGGAATTTTCATAAATTGTCAATCCACAGAAACAATATACGGATTTGTTTGCATTGGCGGCGGAGGATGATACAAGTGGTGTGGGTCGTCGTGGTACAAGTGGTAGAGGACGAAAACCACCACCAGCCAAAAAAGAGACAAATAGCACAAACAGCAGCAACAAAAAGAATTTAGAGCCCGTATATAATTCCAGTGATGAATCGAGCGACGTAAGTTTGAAATATATTCGAAAATATGTTTAGTATTTTGAAAATAATTTTTTTTCCGTCTATTGACAGGGAGATTGGTCGAAACCGAGAAGCGGTAAACGGCGAAAAAGAGCCTTGAGTGATTCAGACTGACAGACCAATTTGAATATCGAATGTGCATACATTATGATCAAGAACTAAAGCAATTGCATGCTATTTTTTAGTGTCGGAGTCAACATTCATGTTCCAGAGAATGCAGCATACATTCACACCCACACATACATACGACATACATTACATCTGCTTGCCAAGAAGTATTGAATCATTTGTTTTTCTCTCTCTCTCTCTATTTAGTAAATCCGATCTGTACGTGTGCGTGTGTGTGTTTTCATCCAAAATATTTGTTGTCGACCAAATTTATTTAAAAGAAAAAAACATTTTGATGTATTTTTTTTCGTACAGAAGTCAGTTTATTTGTTTTATTGTTTCGATTGGTACTTAAGGCACCTTTCAAATTCAAAAGGATATGATCACATGATCCGTTGACGGCCAAACAGGTATAAGTAAAGTAAGCAATATTTCAACTTACTTTCTATCCATCAAACAAATGATCAAAAAAACAAATGTTCGCAATCGAAAACAAAATGACAACGCTTCTGTCTCTAGATAGATAGATCACTTTGGTTTAGTAAATGAATCAATGTTTTCCCTGCGCACGCTTCACCTCTTGAACAATTCCAATGTCAATAGATTGATGACAGCAACACATACAAAACCCATGCTAGTGACATAGAGCACCTCTACATCTACTCTCCCCCTTTGACCCCCCTCTATCCCCTCCAAAAGCCAATTTACATTTCGTGCGCTTAATCGTTATAGTTCAGTCTCTTAATTAAATGAATTATTATTACAATTAGGAAATTAAGTAATGCAAATTTAAATTACACCGACAAATCTAAGAACAATTTAGAAATGTAAATCGAATATTTTGTTGCATTGATAAGGACACCCTTTTTGGACATACACACATAAAAACAAAACAAAAACCAAAACTCAAACAAAATCGATAAACACAGTGAAAAAAACGATTTTCTTTTTTTTTTCAATAAAAAAACAACAACAACATATTTTTATTGTACAATTCAAATTGATAAGCAAGAGCAACAATAAAAAATTCAATTTGTAAATTGAATAGATTTTTATTTTTAAAATAAAAAAAGAATATTATACAGATGAAAAAAAAAGTTATATAAATAAAAAAAGCAAATAAATTACAAGAAAATTGGCATTTTTCTATATATATTATTATTAGGCAGATTAATTGAGTTGGGTGGGAATTGAGCCGAATGTTTTTTTTATCTTTGAAAAACGTGCAGAAATAGGTAAACCTTTGATTTACGCTTTGTAAGTAACGGTCAGTTTATGGTATAACATTGGTTCTTCGCACAACAAAGTCCCTTGGTCGATGGTGTCCATTCGCATAAACATCACTAGGCCGTGGTGCCGCTTCAAAAGCAATGAAACCATCGCAATCATTGAGTTGTTTTGAAACAAATTTTGCAGCAAACGTAAGACGACCAGCATATGGTGGAACGTATTTGAAGCTAGCTAAAGCAATTCCATCTACAGGCACCTCAGACACCTTTTATGCAAAGTAAAACATCCAAAGTCAATTGATTCAAAAAAATTCAGCCAGTTTTCTCACCTTAAGCTGTATTTGGCGCTCCAATCCCGTGCCTTGTACGGTAAATATGCAATTTTTCAGTGCAACTGGCATTGGATTGATTAATCGAAGTACCACATCAATTTGTTTATCAACTTCAGGTATACCTTGTAACCTTTATTACAATATTAGTTTTCATCGAAAATAAACTTGAAACACCGAAAAATGTCTTACCTGATTTTAACATCTGGTTTTCGTACTCGAAAATCGTCTTGAGCATAGTAATCGTAATCGGATTCATGTACTTTGGCGATGCAACTAACACTAAACGCCGCTTGATCGAGTAGCTTCTTAAAATAATCGTAAAATGTCACTTCCATTTCAATGACCTCAATCGATTCGGGTGGAATTTTTTGATCAAAATCAATCGATTTGATACGATCACGATTGCGTCCGGTGTAAAGAACTGACTCAAGCAACAATGAACCCGACACACGATACGAGTCACGTGTTGATCGATTTTTTATTTGCAACAACACAACAAATGTTTCGCCGATTATTATGTCGTCCAATAGATTAAAGCTAAAGTGAATATCGTTGAATTCTTCATTCAAATAGAATCTAAAAGAGGAATGACAAAATGAATGTAAATTAAGTTCAATTAATATCCTTTTATAAACGGTTTATACCTTGAGAATGCGCTGTTCGCTTGTTTCAAGGCCTTCAACATGGTATCGCGTTCGTCTTGTGTCTTTTCGGCAAATTTGTATGTGCTAGTGATATCTTCGCGATCAAATCGGCCAACAGCTTTTGTGCTTATCAATTGTCCAATGGCCAAAGTATCTTTACGCATCAATTTCAACGGCTGAGACGGACCGCGATAGAGCCAAAACAATTTGTCCGCATTCACTTCGGCGTATAAAAAGTTACAATCGTATGGACGAAGAACTTCACCATATTTGACAGCTTTCACTGGAGACGGACCACAACGGTAGATCCCATCGGACATTTCTTGTGGCGTTGAATCCACCGCTTGCCATCTTGAAAATAAGGTACAATGTTGAAAGCACAAAAAATTAACGTTTCGGAATTAACAAATTACCCGTTGTACGTCAATGAACCATTTGTCAAGTCTGGACGATCCATCCATAATTCATTCCAAACCTGCAACATGTGACGTGTGTGTGTCAGTAAGAGAAAAAAAGTGCGACGTCAAATCAGTCTGAATGTGATACGTACATGATAATTCCAGATTGAATCGGCATTCAATTCTTCCAGAATTTTACCATTTTCGTCAACAAAGTAATCGACGGTCAGTGATGCTTGAGTGTCGTGTGCACACGAATATGTTGTAATTATTCTTGATGGAATGCCAATCGCGCGAGCAACTGAAATTATCGATAAGAAACATATTCAAACATTGAATTAAATTAGGAGCAGCTGTTGTGCGAAGAGGGTGTTAGAGAAATGAGCTCCCACTCTAGAGTTTATACTCCTAAGGCTTCAAATTCTCCCCCACACAGAGAAAAAAAATTTGGTAAATGTAAAGGGTAATTTGTAAGTTTAATATTACTTTACCAAATTACCGTACGAATTCTACCATTTTGTCATATTTTCAAAACAAACGACACGAACAAATTAAATTTACCCCAGCATAATATTACATTTACCAATTGCCGCGTAGCAGTCAAATCATACCTAACGTCGACATATCATCGACTGTGTTATTAAATTCTTCGTATTGAATTCGACGATTTTGATTTCACTTTTATCGACGATTTCTGTATTATTCATGAACAAATTATTAAAATTTGCCAATCCCAATTCTGATTTGATCTCTTCGCTTTTATTTTTTTGCGGACAAAAGTTCGCGCGATTAGACATGTTGTAGGTTGTGAACAATACGATGATATGTCGACGTTAGGTATGTTTTGACTGCTACGCGGCAATTGGTAAATGTAATATTATGCTGGGGTAAATTTAATTTGTTCGTGTCGTTTGTTTTGAAAATATGACAAAATGGTAGAATTCGTACGGTAATTTGGTAAAGTAATATTAAACTTACAAATTACCCTTTACATTTACCAAATTTTTTCTCTCTGTGCATTTAATCTATTTTGATCAAAAACACCTTATTCCAATGGAGTTTTAAGAAATTCTGATTTGCCAGGGTTTTTGCTGCTTAGTAGAAATCCGACCTCGCACACTACATATTGCACTCACTTGTTGTTAATGTTCCAGCAAAAATCCAACATTGACCATATCGGACTGGTTTTCGCCGTTCGTAATACTGTTGGAGTATTTCCACAGAGCCGACCTGGGAGGAAAATCACAAACGGAAAGAATGAAAATGAAGAACGAAAAAAACTATGAAAATTCGAACCCATTTCGTTGGTGCTGTTCCACCCGAAAAATCTTCGGTCCAGTTTCCTTGATATTGAAAATAATAAAAGAATGTTCTTGAATCCATCTGTTAATCTTCAAACGGTTTTAAATTACCCATTACAGCACCATCGTCATCTTGTGAATTAACAATGGCCGATAGAGCTCGAGCAATCCTCACAGGATCGCCACGAAATGCAGGCGCAATTTTACCAATCGTTGATATGAGTAGCAAAGCGCATTCAAGAACATTTCGTTCAAATTGGCCCAGCTGCCAGATCGTCGGTCTCATTCGATTATATGATCCCCGATAAATTAGCGTTGAGTCGGATAAAACGTATTCTTCGCGCTGAGCAACGTCTATTCAATTTTTAGAAGAAAAAAAATGATCATTGATTCAACTTGAATCACATAAATGAAACTTTTTCTACAACAAAACTTGAAAATAATACCATACCTCCCATATAAACCAGATCATCGATGCACCTAGAGAAAATCACAAATGGAAAGAAAATGAGTGAAGAAAGTAGTGAAAATTAATCAAAAAAAAAAGAATGAAAATAATCGAACCATGGATTAAACAGGATATAAAATGAGTTTGGGCTTTTAAATGTGGCTGCGCCGCCACCTTGACTTAGTTGTGTATCAATATCAAAATTCCATTCTCCAATAGCTGCATTCGCGGCTGGTTTTACCAGAATTTCCAACCTATTTCCATGTTTACCATCAACAATGCAACTCCATTCATGTGAATCGCCCAAATCATTTGAGTCATATTTCAACGATGTTCCCACCAACGTGCCATGGCCATGATTCGGTCGGTCGTCTCCCCGAAGCGTGAAAATGAAACTAATTGAATCCCGAAACGAATCGAACGGTCGATTAAAGTTGATTATAAATCGAAACGGTTGTCCACGGCGAATGATCAGCGTTGATCTGCGATGCATTGCATCATATTTGTCTGTATGATGTTCGCGACCATTTATCTCAATGCACAAATCTAACGAATGTACTCTTAAGGCGTCCGACGATGAAAGTGCTTGATTGATTGACAACAAAAGAATAAAAAATCACAATACAATTAATGCATAAATCAAAAACACACTACACAAGTGAGAGAAAGAGAGAGAAAGAGTGAAAAAACTATTCAAAAACCATTCAGTGTCATATGAATTTACAATGATATGAAGGCCATCGTCTGGCATTTGGTCTATTATGCGGACGCCTACGATGCCATGGCAAATAATCGTATACTCGATTAGAATTCCACCAGTCTCTTAATCCATTCGTTGTCATTTTCGATTCACTTTTATATCAAAATTAATTCTATGGCTTCGATGATAAATTCCAAAAACAGTAAGATGATTTATGAGCAATTTAAACTCAGAAAGTTGGCGTTAAAATTCACACATTTAATTTCAATATGATCAAAATAAATACACAACTGATTGAGTCGACGTTGAACAGCAGACTAAAATTTTATGAGATCAAACAACGATTCAAATTGTGTCTACTAGGCTTGAATTGTATGTACATACTCTAGCACAGACAATTAAGCTTATGTGAAATTTATTCAAATCGGTATTGCCCACTTTATTATGAATCAAAGAGTTAAACACGTTAAAAATTACTGCCGTTCAATCAATGAAGAGATAAAAAAAACATGCCGTTTTTATAGTTTTATTACTTTTATGAAGAATAATGACGTAAATTCTCCTGCAGCCATTGTTTGAGCTAACCGCCGCTGCATAGATCACTTCCAATGGTGGCAATTCACTTAAAATTGAGAATCAGTACAAACCACAGAGAAATCCCTATAATCATTTGTTTGCCATAAATTCGATTAATTAAAAAATGCAAATGAATTCGTGAGTTTGTGCTGTTTCTGGAAACTAAGTGACATATGTGCATGCACATTCTGCATTCTGCTTCGATGAATCGTTGTACCATTCAGATATCTTTGAATCCTTTCATCTCTTCGCCGATTTTTTCTCTCGAAGTTCATCCTTTGATTTGCTCATTAAAATCGATTTTAATTAAAAGTGTGAATGATTTTGCGCGTAATATTGTGCAATTGACTTTGAGTTTATTCTGATTTATAATATTGTGCATGATTCAAGTGAATTTTCCGAAGGTTTCTTCAACCACCTACTCAGGTGTCTTATGCATATTTTGCAGAATATGATTTCATACAAAATAATTTGAATAGAAAACAAATAAGAACTGATAAATATGATGTTGACATTGATAGAAAAACGGAACTTACAATCGGTTTCATCAAGCGGAGCCATCATGATTGAAATTGGTTTCACTATTGATATCGGGTTCATTGTGACAGTATCGTTATCCAAACTTCGTCCAAATTTGGGTCGGTCACAACAGTCGCAACAAAAACATCGCGAACAATAGTTTCTAAATCGTTTGGCACATGTTACCGGTGCGGTACATGAATTTCCCATTGTTTATTTATTTATATTTTTTATGGCTATTTCTTTTATAGTATTGGTTGCTTTTTAAACTCTAAACCACCATATGTTTATGTATTTACATTTTTTATTGTTTTTTTTTTCGTTTACACTGGAAATATGACTACACGAGATGTGAATTTTTCGACGAACTTGACTCACATTGACCACCCACTGGATTTTCTACCGTCCATACGTATGTTAATCGCCTAACAATCTTGTTTACATTATTTGTCTATTTATGGTCAGTCGTCACATTGATCTACATTCGAAGCGAAATTCAACGAAAAGTTGAGATCGAAAAAAAAAAACGATTTAGAATTTACGAAGATGCTCACCGATTAAAAGTGCACAACGATTAAATAACATGTGAAGTCACTTGAGCTTATGAAATGATCTCAAATCGTTCGAACGTGACACTGATGAAAACAAAAGCACTTAAACAATGTTTTGAAAAGGTTTTTCAAATTGCAGTCTGGCGGTAATTGTTCAAATAGTTTCTTAAGTTTCCGACGAAAGATTTTAAATGCAAATCGACACGCTTAAATGCATGCTAATGGAAATACTTATTCGGCACTTGACAAAACAATAATAAACTGTTCGACCTAAATCCTCCGTCATTTGATTTTGATCAACATACAATTCGAGCAGAGAATGTTTTTTTTCTTCTTTGAATAAACTCAACTAAAATTGTCTAATGCATTGCGATTTCACTATTGATTTGGTGCATATTACGCAAATTTCGAAACCTTGATGCTTACTTACACAGGCTCACTTGTAATTTGTACGTTACGCTTACGATTAAATCAATATCAGTTCATTTTTCAATTGCATGCTGATGCCAAACAAACTCAAAATAACAATAGAATTTCACTCATAATAATGCAAACATTTTATCGACTCAAATAAACTTAATCACCAAACAAATTTAGGGATTTTTTTTCATTTATACATTTGCATACATTCAAGATAGCCAAAAATGAGTTACTGTTCGCGTCAAATTTATGTGACATCACTATTTACATGATTGAATCAACAGTACTGTAATATGGGAAAAGTTGAAAAATGTGCCTCTAACACGAGATAATTCTTTTTTAATTAAACACCAAATTGTTCAAGTGACACATTGATCACAAATGAGAATCACTTATTTAATTTTTGAAATCACTTTTTTGCAAATCGAATCGTTTATTTTTTACTGCAAAATTGAAAAAGTTCATTTGAAAATCGGATTTTCCGCACACTTTATACACTTTACGCTATGAGAATGATGCTGTTTCAAGCCAGGTGAAAAATGAAGCTAATTAAAACGATTGAAATGAATTAAGTAGTCAAATTTACGTTTTTTTTTCACTTCACTATGCCACATTTCAATGCGCTGTCTGCATGCAATAGTTGCGTTGTTCACGATTCACGTTCCAACCACAATTGATTGAAATTCACTTGATTTACCAGCCTCAATCTGCGGCGCTTTGCTGTTTTTAGCAGTCAGCTGCTGTCCGTAAGCCGAAAATTATTATTCATATTTTAATTACGAGAAACCAATGTCGAATGTGTGATGTAAAATCGACGAGCCTAGTGTTTTGGGGAATCGTATAAAATTGACGTGAAATCATAAAGTATCGATAAAATTATGAAGCACTTTAGTTGGCACTTTTTGTGATAAGATACAGATGTGAATGATAAATTCTAATGACACTGATCAAAGTAAAACCATCAATAAAATTCATTCACATCATAACGGCGAAGTATGACTTGTATTGAAGCTGAGAATATCATTGAAAAGTGCCTGGGCGGACGACATATGTGGATTTGATGTGTGTTTTAAACCTGATTATTTAAATAACTTCACATATACTATGATGAATTGCCATAACATCTTACTATTTGTTTGAATTTTGCTTTATCTTCATTCGTTTCTGTTTCTAATTTGCAAATTGATTTGATATGGAGATAAATGTGGAAAACATCAAAAGTTGATACACATCTAAATCTTCAAAACATTTAATGCTTTTTTTAGAATCTTAATTAAGAATGACTGGATAGTATAATTTAAATACATTTAACATTGGAATATCGGTCATCTTTTTACAATACGGTATCATTTGTAAACAGAATTAAAAAACATGTTTCATATTCAAAAACGTTCAATAAATGTTTTATTGGTTTTGGATTGTCCTCGCTCAATTTTGAATTATATAGCAGTTTTAATGCATTGTCAAAGATTTTCTGAAATAAAAGGCTTAAATCTTAAACTAATTTGAGTAAACTAACAACAAACCCATTTACGTATTATACTTATATGGCACTTTTTGAAGACCCAAAAACAATTGAAAATTAAATGTGTTGAAATTATTTGTTCAATCAAATGTGAAGAATCCATTTTCTTTGAATAATTGAATCGTACGTTTCCATCGATCTTGTATTTCTTTCGAAAGTTTTTTCCAAAAAAATAATTCACCCGGTGATATTTCATTCAACTGACCAACATCTACTGTGGTAATCTTTACCATGAAAAGTACTCTCTAATTTGGCTTTTTTCTGAATTTCTTCCCACATCCTGAAAAATCATAATCATTAAAAGCCTTCGCTAAAAATATTTAAGCATATGAACCACAAATAAATATGTTTGGCATAAATATCATCCAAGTGTTTAATACTCACTTGTCAAAAGAATAATCATCCAATGGACAATTTACTAATTTCAGTACGTTCACAAACTCAGCATGATAGGAAGTAACAAACAATTTGAAAGCATTGGCCAAATCGCACAAACGAACACTCGTGAACAGAAAAAATATCAAATCATGAACAAATGACTGATAATCGAATGTTTGAAAGTCATAAATTTTCACTTTTATAGGTTCGTCGGCGGTGTTATCTGAAAATGAAAGGTTTTATCCGTTCTTCTTCAATTTCTTTGTTCATCAATGTCGATTGACACCAACCTTTCTTGAGCACATATGCTCAATGTTATTGAGCCATAAGTCTCGGTGTATGATCGTCGTGTACGGAGCTAGGGGATATCCATGCGAATTAGAATTAGCACATTAGCAAAAAAATAGGGAAATTTACATGACGAAAATAGCAAAATTAGCAATAAATAGCAGAATTAGCACTGTACACGTATATACTTTAGTAAGCATTTATTCTTGAATATATTGAAATAATTAATTAAAATAAAATTCACAAAACAAACGAATTGAATAGTGTTGAACTAAAATGTATCAAAATATGTAGTTAAATACGCTTTTTCTTATTTTTAAATAAAAATATATTCAATGGCACGTAACCAAGCACGTTTCATCTGTATTAACTACAATTTACGAATTGCAATCGGAAATGTAGATTTGATGACAGATTTCTTACTGAAAACGTATACGCTAGTGTCTGCTTCAAATATACACGTTGAAAGTGTCAACTTGAAACATTTACGTAAACACATTTCAGTTATTCGATCATGCTGTCAATTTGACGTATGCAATATTTTTGACGTACTAGAGAAATTAGCAAAAAATAGCAGTATTAGAACAAACTAGTAGAAATACTAGCAGAATTAGTGAAAAATAGAGAGAAATAGCGTTTATTATTATAAATTATTCGATCTGCAATTCACGGTTATCCCCTAGGTACGGAGTGTCATTCGTCCGTGTCGAATCTTCTTTCAGGAAGTCAAAACTTACTTTTAATTGTGTTTGAATGTTTGTTCGTAGTTCTGTATCGAGATCGTGAAGCAATCGTAACTCATCGCAAGTGCTCCAATTTTGTGAATGCTTTATCATTTAATTTTATCATGTTAAGATTCAAATTGTATAATATTTACATCAAGCATTTGGTGTTATCTCCCTTTACGATAAAGCTTATCGCTTTCAAATATGGGTTGATTTTTGTTTGAAATACTTCAGGCTGAAGACGACGTACAGCGATACAAAGTGCGTGAAATCGAGCCAATTGCATTTTGGCCAAATTACATTTTGGCCAAATACTGTACCTTTAATACAGCAAGAGTTTCGTTGGAATCGAAGCCCACAAATCGATCACCAAACATCCGCATAATCTGAATCAAGAATTCGATCAATTGCAAAATGCCTCCATAATTGTCACCCGATTTTGTTAAAGGCTTCAATTTATATTCCAAGACTTTTTTGCCTGAACATTCCTCTAAAAATTCGTTCAGATTTTGTATTTCACACAAAGCGTTATCAGACATTCTATTATTAAACTCTTTAATAACAATGATAAAAAGCTACATTAAAGAGTACTGAATCAGTGAAAACAAATTAAATATTGATTAATAATTTATGTTTGATTTTAAAGAAGACATTTTGATATCATGAAGCTTATCACAATTTGTAAAGAAAATAGCAAATCTTGAAAATAAATTTGAGATATGTGTGAAACAGATACAACTAATCAAAATGAACCATAAGTGCAGGCGTTAAAATAAGGCTCTTTAATTTCCTTTAAAGAATTCTCAAACCTGTAACTAGAGGTCCAGATAGGGAGCAAACTGTTAAAAGAAGTTTTCCAAGATGGGATTTATACCAAATGTGAATAAAAAATGTTCTTTAGCCGAACCTATTAACAAGACTTGGATAGAATTAAATATAGGATTTCTTTGCTTTCAACGAATAATCAAACAATAAGTTAAAAAAATGTTGATTTCATTTTATTTCGAATAACCCCCAGGCAATTTCAATTGATGATATTGAATTTGTTTGGTGTTATTAACATAATGGCATCGAGAAATTACTATTTGCAAAATATCGTCGATTTTATTCCAAATTATTGGTTAATATCATCATATTGTTCAAAAAGTGCATTTTTCTATTCCAATTTTTCATGTGGCATAGTTTCATCTGAATAAATGTTTCTTAAACATTTTCTAACGCAATAGCAAAAGAGTTTTAACAAAATGATCAAGTTAAGAATGACAAATAATGTAATAAAGGCAATGATGTCGTATGAATTTCCGGCGATAAGTCCAAGCCCAAAAAGCGGTGACTTTAAATAGCCGCAATTTGGATTTCGTAAAAGCCACTCAATCCACCAAATGGCTCTGTCAAGCGGCTTTTCCTTCTGATCTTTGAATCGTGCTGATACTTTTTGCATATTCATTGCATATGATGGATCCTCAAGCACTTTCAAAATTGTTGTTTTTAAATCATCATAATTCAACGAGTGATAGTCAGCTCCCTCCGAAATTCCAAATCGTTTTGTCTTCATCAAATTCTGTAAGAGATTCAGAGAGACAAAGTAAGCTTTGAATGATTATAAAATATTGATAAATTTACTTGTGGTTGATCAAGTCCAAATGGCATTATTATCATGGGCACAGATCTCCAGATAGCTTCGTGAGTGGTTAAAAGACCTCCATGAAAGAAAATCGCTTTGACTTTTGGATGAGCCAAAACGTCCGACACAGGAATCCAAGAGCGAATCATGACGTTTTTCGGTAAATCGGATTCAGAAATATTACTCTCGAATTTCCAGAGAAAATTGTAGTCCGAAAGATCACTTAAAACTTTTAAAATTAGATTTTTTTTGATTTGCGGTATATAATCACTTCGAAAGTTTGATCCCAAAGAGAAAATGACCGTTCCTTTCGTTGATGAATTGATAAATGATGTTAACTCCTGAAGAGAAGAACACTTTCTTAGGTACCACCGTACAAATCTATTATCATAAACAAATTACCTGAGGAAATGGTTTGGGATCTTTTATTTGGAGTCCACCAACAGGAATGACATTTTCCGGGTGAGATATATGATAATCAATGGCCGCATTGGTATTTACGAAAGCTAATGATGTTCTTTTCTCCAATTCACTAACGGACGGGAAATTCGGACCAAAAAATTTGGCCGCAATTTCATCCATTCGCGGATTGAAAAAGTACTTGAAAATACTGGTGAAATTGACAGTCAATATATAATTTAATTTCGAAACGATTTAACATCGCTTGAGTCGTACTTACATAAATTCCTCCATGTAGATAAGAAAATTTAGGAGTCGTTGTGAAAATGTCATTTCATCGTTAGATCGTAGTGAAATGTGTGGCACATAAGAATAGTGATGATGATCTGCAATGTAATGCGACGAAAAGGACGGATGTCCGAAAGCAGTGACCGCAATCATTGGTGGATAATTGAATTTATGAACAAAAGGAAGAAAGCATGAGCCAACTGAAAAATCGTGTAAAATCACATCGAATTTGAATTCATCTGGATAGTTTAGCAAGGTTTGGAAACCTTTAGTTTTAACAGCACCTGTAGAAAATTTCACGTTAAAAGTGTGAAATATATGGGGATTTTTTTACTTATATTTACCAGAACACAATAACTCGTAACCTAATAGAATAGAAAGTGTTTCGTAAAATGGATTCATAAATTCCGTTGCATTTAATAGGCTTCTATAAAATGGTAAACGTCTAACATACTGATCTTCAAGAAGAATGTAATGCACACCCGTTGGTGGTTTTGCTTCAGAGCGGGGTGAAAGTATTGTCACATTATGCCCACGTTCCGCGAGTTCATGAATTATCGCTCTATTCCTGGTAATATTTAAACATACGGTGAAGATGAAAGCGAATTCGCAAAAAATGTTGGTTCTTACCAAAAATGATGACTATGTGATACCAAAAGTTGCAAATATAATATATTCGAAGTGAAGCAGATTGGAACACTGATCAAAACGACCATAAACAACGAAATGCACTTCATTTTGAATAATTTTAATCGATACGTTTTTATTCTGGTGAATACAAATTATTTTTTATCGAATGATCTATTTTGTGAAAAAAAGTTTCGAATCACTGTACTGCTTTCTGTGCATATGAGAAATATTTTCGATTATTTAATTTTTTTGATCAGCAAAGAGCAAACACATTATCTTATCAACATTGATTATATTTTTTTTTTGTATGATTTGTTGATAATAGAAATTTGACTGTATTATTTAACCATTTTCGTTTATATATTTATAAAAGTTCAAAGTTTTTGCTTCTGGTAGATAATCACTTATGAAATTGACTTCAAGAGACCATTTATAACTATTCCTTTGATGAATCAACGAATACTTTAAAATCCTAAAACAGACAAACATTGGATTTTAGTATCAATATTATGCATTGACAAAGCCACAAACATTAAATTTGGTATCAGTCTTGGATCTTTTATCTGTACGCTGACGACGTCATCGCTATATTTTATTTTTCATCCAGCCATATATCAACAAAATATTTGATGTAAAATCAAATTGTGGCGATAATATATTATTTTGGGAATTGTACCACTTTTAGGTGAATTTCAAGAGGTATGTAGTTTAAAATATCTTTGTGGGCCTCCGAAAGATAACTCAATTTGGAAAAAGTAATGAGAATTTCATGTTCTGAAACCTTAATAAACACAGTAAACCAATAAAATAAAGAGTTATGATATCCGTGCAATATTTATTTTGATAAACAAAGCGATAAAATTGAACAAAAATCGTTGAGATTTGATTATGAAACCGTAAAACATTTGACTTATTTGTGTTTCATTCAAACAAGAAAAAATATATTTTAAATATTTTTGAAGAATTTCGAAAATTTTACTTCAACATTACGTCTGATTGTTTTCGTTAAGTTTGAAAGAAGAATTTATGACTTTACTAAAAAAAAATGCGTCGTTATAATCTAAAAAAAAAATTATATGTACGTAATAGGATGAAAGCACAATCAAAGATTATTTTTTTTCTGAGTTCTCAGCGCCTGCGTTTTTTCCTTTTCATTTTTCTCCTTTTCCAATAGAGATTCAACTAATTCCTTTTCCAATAGAAATTCAACTAATTCCTGGCGACCTGAAATGATTTTGATTAAACTTTATTGCTGTGTTTTCGATTTGAAAGTGTGTGGAGAATAAATTACTTAGGTGGAAAGCTTTTGAACGTGGAGTTTCACCTTCAATATTTTGAACCGTTAAGTTTGCACCATGATTGACTAGATATTTGACTGTTTCTATTTCACCTATGAAACAAGAAAGGTAACAGGGCTGTAATTTTCACTCTGTCAGTGCACGCACACAGTAGTGTGCACACTCACATTCTATGTGCGTCGCACACAATGCTTGTATTTTGCATGTGCGCGCACACTTAGTCACAAGTTTGACATTTTTGGCGGTTGGCAAATTTGTAACTAAGTGTGCGTGCACATTCAAAATACAAGCACTGTGTGCGACGCACATTGAGTGTGAGTGTGCACACTACTGTGTGCGTGCACTGACAGAGTGAAAATAACAGCCCTGAAAGGTAATGAAAACCATTTTATTATAAACTCAAAAAAGTGTGTACACTGTTCAATTACCATTATAAACCGCCTTATGAAGTGAGGTTTCATTCCATTTATCTCTGGCATTCAAATTAGACCCTTTATCAAATAGGATTTTGACTATTTCGGTCTGACCTAAAAAGCATGAAATGTAACCAACCTCCAAACATTAAAACTATTTCTTTTTGATTCGGAAAAGTCTTCAATTACCCTTCTTTGCAGCTTTATGAAGTGGCGTTTCTTTATTTCTATTTTCGGCATTTACACTCGCACCATTTTCGACTAGATATTTGATTATTTCTGTGTAACCTATAAAGCATGAAAGGTAATAAAATTAATCTCCGCATTGAAATTACTTTTTCTAAATTCGAAAAAGTGTACAATCACCCCATTTAATAGCCGCATGAAGTGGCGTTTCTTTATCTGCATTTTCAGCATTTAAATTCGCACCATGTTCAACTAGATATTTGCTTATTTCTGAGAAACCTATAAAGCAAGAAAGACTATTAAAATAACCAACGCACTGAAACTATTTCCATAGATTCTGACGTCCAGAGTTTTAGGAGGGGGTAATTTCAAAAAAAAAATCGAAAAATATGGGAGGGAATTTCAAATTTTTTCGAAAAATCCAATCTCTGAAAAACAACAGAGGAATAGCACTTTAGCTTAAGTTTTTATATTCAAATTGAATAATTCAATGCATAAAAGTTGATATGTAACATTCGATTCGATTTGAAAGTTGCTGATTTGACAATTAATCAAGCAAAAATATGATCAAAAACCAAGGGGGTAATTGGTAATTTTTTAAAAATCAAGGGGGGTAATTTTTGAGACGCTTTTCAGGGGGGGGGGTAATATGGGCCCTATGGACCCACGTCAGAATCTATGACTATTTCTTCACAATTTAAAAAAGTTTACAATTACCATTATTGGCAGCCCAGTAGAGTGGAGTGCATTTGTTTTTATCTTCAACATTCACAATGGCTCTATTTTCAATTAGGTATTTGACTATTTCGGTATGACCTAGAGAGTACGAAAAGTAATGAGAATAATCTTTTTTGAAAATATTCTTTGTTAATTTGGAAAAGTGAACACTTACCCTTATAAGCAGCCCAGAAGAGTGGTGTTCTTTTGAGTTTATCTTCGAAATTAATATTGGCGCCGTGTTCGACGAGATATTTAACTACATCGGTGTGACCTAATAAGTATGAAAAATGATGAGCATTTTTTTATTGAAAATATTTTATTTAGAATAGTGACCAATTACCATTCAATGTTGCTCTGTGAAGTGGTGTTGTATTCCATGCATCCTCAGCATTCACATTTGCTCCATTCTGAATAAGATTTTCGACTATATCTATATTACCTAAAAAGCATAAAAAATAATCACGCGGGACGGCAGTCCAACAAGTGATGTAATATTTATCATTTGTTCTTACGTTATACATTTCTATTCGTGTTGCAGTGATTTTCAATTGGATGCTCAACACAGTATCCAAAAAATAGATTTTGTAGTTTGACTGTGTGTTTGTATGTATTGTAGTGGTTCGATCCCGAACGCAAACGTCATACATACAAATACGCTATGAACAGTCAACGTATGCAATGACCGCTTGTGCGATACATAGCTTGCTTAGTTTGCTCAGCTATCTTATAGATACTGAGCATCCAACTGAAAATCACTGCGTGTTCGACCTTTTTTTTTAGCTATAATTCAAGAAATGTATTGATATTCATGACCAACTTTACAAATATGCAAGTCCATAATTGATTTCGAGAAAAATACAACGCATTTTTAAGGAGACGAAAGAGAAAAGAACATCGTATTTCATTACATGATAATAAGCGTAAGTCATATGTGCTCGTTCCTTTGCGTTGATACTGTTACTATGGTTTGGACGTGAAACTTTGTATATGTTTTTTTTTTTTTTTTTCAAAATAGCATTCTGAAAGTTTAATTTCAATGCAAATTAGGAGCATACAAAAAATTTCATTTTTGAGTCAAAAATCCAAAATTTTGCACCTTAAAATACCTTGAAATACATTGAAACTACTTCAAATTTGATGAGTTTATTTATTTTAGCAATTATGATAGATTGAAATTACCTTTTTCAGCAGCATCCATCAGCCGTTTATCTAATTCAGGATTTGCATGGACATCAAGACAGAAAAAAAATAAAGCAAACAAAAAATTCACTTTCATCATGAACAACACAATTAAATAATTTATCGAAATTTCTTAATTAAATGGGAAAAAACTGTCTTTGAGTAGAAAATATGAACACTTTGTAAAAATGACTTGGACAACTGAAATTGAAAAAAAACCGCACACTTCTTTAAGAATGCTTTCGTTTTCGATGGAGTTCATGGGACTTTTGATTTTTATTTAACTTTATATGCGATTTCGCATAAAATTTGTGTTGAAATTTGATTGAAGCAAATCTATAAATAAATCTGCAATGTGTGTTCTGTTGAAATGTGAATTTTTTGATTAGCTATGAAAATATGATGTCATAATATGACGTTATTGACATTGAGAAACTGTGATTCATTTTCTTATCTTATTTTCGGAACAAGAAACAAACATCAAGACTCCGTCCGTTCATTTTCACAAACTTATTTTCTCAGCACATTATATTCAATGGACATATGCCCAGCTCAATCGGTGAGTCACACACCATGGGATCAACAATCCGATGTATTTTCTTGACGTGGAACTTCAACGATGTGACCAGGTATATTGAAGGAATCAAATTTAAATTTGACATCACTATTCACCTTCTTCTTATATTCTAAATTCAGGAACTCGCGAAGTTCTGTGATCTCCTTGTATTGTCCACCCGATAATGAGTCAAATATCAAAATACATGGCCTGAAAATCAGAAATAGAAATATTTTTTTCAAAAACTCACAAATTAAACGTTACACCTCACCATTTGCTCTCAAGAACGCGTGAACGCTACCATTGGACGTCATTCGACGTTTACCCTGTTTGACTGTCGATTTTGCATTTGCTTCAACGAGTCTGGCATATTGCCAAATACCAATGTTTATATTGATTAATTGGCACGACGAAACATGTGACGTTAAGATCCATATTATCTATAGTTTTTCTTTGTTCCGATTCTTCTGGTCGGTGGACGGCGTGTTCGTTAGCACTTGATAAAAAATGAATCAAAAATGTGTGTGACATTTTTCTGTTCATCGGTCAAAATCAATGTGTCCATAACATATAGAAATTGCATTAAATAGTGTCGATATCTATACTATACCGGTGCACTATATATGGAAGATATTTCCGCAAGACACCGTAACTCACAATCGAAGTGAGTGCGGACGGCAAAAATGTTGACACATACACACAGTTCTTTCTTCTTGCCGCACGGCAACTTGTGATTTTTCCCGTCTACACTCACTTCGATCTTGCGATACGGTGCCGTGCGGCAATATCTTCCATATATAGTGGACCGAAATATCATTCCAAAAGAAAGGTTGAAACCTTTAAATCCAAAAAATCTAAAAAAAATTGAACTAATTTCTCAAAACGGTTACCACCATTGAATTCCTTAGGTGTGAACAAAAATTTAATTGAAAATAAACTTATAGCAGAAAAAATATCTCTCGTTTCTTTTCAAGTTTGTATTGTTATGGCGAAAGATTATTTAATTTTCCGTCCAATTATCGCAATCAGAAATAAAGAGACTTACATTAGCAGTTTGTCTTATTAAAAAAAACGGAATTGGTACTAACTAAGGATTTTCTACATTTTTCGTGTAAAAAGATCTTTTGTTATAAAGTCGTTTTTTTCTGGTTATTTGATTTCATTTGAATTGGCATTTAAATCCTAATTAAACAATCTAAAATGGCTTAAAATGTATACATATATGGATTTTCACTAATAAAGTAACAGGTTTTTCTAGAGGCATTATTGTCTTTTGTTCAGAGAGGAGAAAACACTGTCGCTATAGTAGTACTATATTAACGGTGCCTATTAATAGTTACTATTTGTACACATTTAAGACTGTTTGATTGGCACTGTTAATATAAATAGTATTACTATAGCGGCAGTCTTTTCTTCTTTCTTCTTTTGTCATTAAAAAGGAGTTTGTATCACGTCAAAACGGTTTCTTTGTCAAAGCGATCAAAACATGTCTCAATTGCTGCGTACACCATCAACAAGCGTCGCTCAATGGCTTTGTAATGTTCGCCAGTTAAGAGTGGATAAAGCAAATCTCGTTTTGATAATTGATCCAAAAGTTCGATCATTGTTCCGCCTGAAAAGAATAGCAGGCGATCCCAAGTCGATTTTCGGAGTCTGAAAATGATTAAAACGATTAATTTAGAATTTTTAATTAAATTCGAATCGAATTGACTTACACACAGCACTGATAAACCGGTGCCAAAATGTCAATATGATCAACATTCGGATTTCCAAATCCTTTGCCATTGTCAATGAGAACGATACGATCTTCTCGTGTTTCATAATGGTGTCGATCACCGTTTTGTATTAAAAAGTCAAATATGGCCACATCGACTAGATCCAAAATACGTGTATAAGATAATTTCTCTTTTAATGAACTGCAATAATCCATATTTTCTTCCCACGGTGCCAATTGATTTTCCTTATAGGTGCGTTGCCATGGTGACCGATGCCTTTCAAACGATCCCGGTACCAAATACAAAACTACACCTTCGAGTAAATGCTCATCGTCGCCGCATACATCTTCCGATTCTTTACAATAGAAACATTTTCCGTACAAGCAGTACTTCGTTTGATCCTCTGAAAAAAGAAAATGAATTGATTTCATTCTTCGGAATAATTTCCATTGTTGAAATTAAAGAAAAAACCGTTCACCGTTTTCTGTCATGGTGCTTCGAAGAAGTTTATCGGCTTTGTGCTCGTAGATTTCCTTGAGATTGATTTTTCGACCGACGGCCACTGGAGTCCATCGCATATCCAATATAGCTGCCAAATAAAAGGCGATGATTTCTGCATTGAATCGATCCTTACCCGAGTAAACTGGTCCATCGATCACTTCGCCACGTTCGTACCATTTTGGTTTGAAAATCACTTTTTGTTTGCCAGACAGCGTTAGCAACAGCTTCAACTGTGTTCCTTTTGGAGCATTTCGAGCCGATATTATTTCCTCATTTCGTAGTGCATTGAGCAATTGACCCATTGTTGTATCGAGCGCCGGAAATAGATCATTTTCGCTTGGCCACTATTCAAAATAAAAAGTATATTTTTAAAATGTCACTGTTTTTTCTTTCTTAATTAACAGATACAACTCACCCAATAAGAGATGTCCCAAATCAAGGAGACATTTTCATATGTTTTCGTCTCAAAATTACGCCAAACTTTATTACGAATGCGATAGTATTGTGGATTTCGATTGAGATAGATGGGTTTTAATGAGCGAACACGTTTTTTCAATTGATGTAAATATCCGGCTTTTGTTGAGGCCATTTTTCCATGACCTTCACCGCCACCATTCTGGTTGGCATTCAAATGTGACACAAAATAGAAGTTCAGCGAAAACACGATCAAAATCAATGCGGCCAATAGTCCAAGAATGATCCATAATTTCTGTTTTGTCATCTGGTTTATTCGTTGATGTCGCTGCTCAACATTTCACCGCACCACCATTCGTGTGCTGCACTCACTACACTGAAACTGAACAGATTTTTTTTTTGTTACTAACGAGAGCGATAAGTTGAAAATCAAACATTGACGAATGTGTAAATAAAGACAGATGGAAAATAGCAACAACAATGGAATCAATAAAAAAATGGCGAATTTTTCTCGAAATAAAACAAGAAATTGTAAAATAAAACTTAAAAAACACCTTTTCCATTCAAATTAAAGACCTAATTTAGCGAATTTTTTTCTCCACAATTTCATCTATTTTTATTTACAACGCTCGTCGAGTTTGTGAGACGTTCATTTTAAGTTCGCTGATAAAAAAAACTGAAACACACCGTTTAAAGATTGAATTGCAACTGAAATAATTGTTTTGCGTTACTCTCAATTATTCTCTTGAATATGAAAATTATTTCGCGTATTTTTTTTTTTCAAATGCAAATTTCAAATGTCGTTTCACCGATTCTAATTCTTCATTCAGATTCGGTTGCGATGCGAGATCAAGTGAATGAATGTATTTTATTGTTTGCGCTCGCTACTATAATTTCGTCAAAATCATTTGTTTTAATTGAATTGTATTCAGTTTGTTACAATTTCGAATCTTTCGCAACGGTATGTTCGCTGCAATATGGTTTGGCGATGGCATTTTAATGAGACAATGCCATTTCAATATTTGTGCGTTGTTTTTGTATCGTTTACGAGCTTAGTTATTATTAAATCACAATGCCACGGAAGAATTTATAGTGTGAACGTGTTTATCGCCCTTCTCTATTTTTTTTTATTGTTCTGTTCGAGATTGTTTCTGTTTTCTTTGTTGTTTCGGTTTTTCTTCTTTCAAATGATTTTTCTCACTTGCATATAAATGTCAAAAATAGGTTTCCGTATAAATAGGTTGCACATTCACTATGCATCAAAACAAAACAAAAAAAAACAATTCGACGCAAAATTTAGGTTGGTTACTCAATAGAGCCTTCGTTTAAAAGAAGAACATTAACAAGTCAAGTTCAAGTGAAGCCGGGTCAATAGAAAAAATCCACACACACTGTCATATTGTCAAACGAGATTGTATTTTTTCGGTTTTTTTCTTACAAAAAAAAAAAAATTACTTGTTGAATATCTAATCTTTAATGTAAATCACGAAAAACAAACAAAAATCTAAATGTTAAAATATATAAGCTATCAGTGCTTGCTGTCGTTCGTATGTTTATTTTGCTTCTGTGGCGACAGCTGTCAAATGTGCCGGATGTCAGGGCTATTCAAAATTGAACACATTTTACGTTCGTTTGTTGCGCTTATATTTAGACATCGGTGAGTCATCGAGTGGTATTTCTTCGGCTATTTCGATTGCTGGTTCAATTGTGACGGGGTGATCATCACACGGCATTTGCACATAATTTATACGAAAACCACGTCCAACAGCCGCTTCATTTGTATGCACTGGTATGATGTTCAAGCCATTACTTGTGTCGGTTACTATTGAATTTGCCGATAAATCATCATTACGACTGGCATCGTTCAATTTTTCACCGCACAATCGTATTGAATTCACCGATATATAGTCATCGTTACAACTAAAGATTTCTATTCCGGCTTGCTTTTCTGGAATCACACTTGTGCCCTCTAAATAAATTTACAAACAAAAATTATCGCATTTTTAAACTTTCAATGTAAAAAGAAAATTGCACTCTTCACCTGAGTCAATATTAATCATCTGAAATTCGTACTCAACATCTTCCGCTTCGTTGGTGTAGGTCGTGGAGCAATAGTTCCATTGCCGTTTGATACAAATCACATAATTGAGGTTATTCTGAAAGAGGAATTTTTTTCACAGATTTTATTGAACCCTGCGCACTGTCATACGATACGATTTTAGCGGGGAAGTGGGATTTTTTTTTGACATTACACAACACTTCTGTGAGTTTGACAGTTTAAATGACTATTATTGTTTTGTTCTCTTCAGTAACACAATCTTTCCAATTTTAACATAACATTTTATCAAAAATATTCTTAAGATTCAAACATTTTATAGCTTTTGTCTTGTGGTAACAATTAAACACTTACAAAATAACTGGGTACACGATTTGTAACATACATCGATGTGTCATCATAGTTGAATGTTTGAAACCAACCATCGGTTTCTGTGTAATATTGCAGACAATTGTTTGGTGCCAAAGAATCTTTTAACTAAAATGTAAGTTTTTCGTGTTATTTTCGAAAGTGTGCGTGTGTGAATGTATGTGTTGCGAAACTTACTTGCTGAATACGAATATTGAAACCTCTCGCTGCTACTGATGATGTTAAAATCGATAAAAACACTCTTCGATCCATTGAATTGCTTACCTCAATGTATACTGCATGGAAAATAGAAGAAAATGCTTTTTTAGTTGTAAAAACCATAAGTTGATGTAGAACAAAAATAGAAATTGTTGCTACTGACAATGTTGCCCACTATTAATGCCACACAGTGTTGGAATTAAATTGTTTAGATTTTGGCCAGCTATATAGAATTGGTCGTCTACACAATTGCCATCGGTCGGTGCTTTTAGCTGAAAATTCATAGTTTCATATTTAAAAGATTTCTTTCCAATTCACGGAATGTTACTATGATGAAGAGGAAAATAAATAGAAGAAAAGGACAACTGAGGAACTCAATTGAGGAGGAAAATATTTTTGACCAAAAAATATATTTTTGTGATAGAATTAGGTGTGTGAAGTTTTTCCCTCGACATTCGAATATTTAAATGGGACCTTCACATAAAAATCGTTCGTAAATAGTTCATTGCGTTCCTTTAAGGAAAAAAATAGTTCGTTTTTGGGGGCCGAGATAATTTTTGTACTAAAAACCATTTTTGTAAAATTTCCGCAAATAATAAAATTTTCAAAAAATTCTTTCACCAAAAAATCGTTCGTAAATAGTTCGTTCCGAATCGAGGAGAATATTTGCACTTTTTTTTAATTTTTGCAATTTTTTTTCAAAATCAAAATTTTTGATTTTGAATTTTCGAGCTCGAAAGAGATATGAAAAAAATTCTTTCACCAAAAAATCGTTCGTAAATAGTTCGTTCCATATCATATGATTTTATGGGATATTTTTTATTTTTTTTTCGAAAACTTGAACATTTTGATTTTTCCCAAAAAATCGAAAAAATGAATTAAATTCAATAAAATAAAACTGTCAAAAAATAGTTCACAATTAGTTCGTTCCATACATATAATTTTCTCACTTCTAACGTTTTTATTTAATTTTAAATGAACTCATATATTACATAGAACCTTCACATTCCTACAAAAAACTTGTAAAAATACATAAATTATAAAAGTTATATATAATTGTGACGAACTATTTACGAACTATTTTTCTGCATCATTTATTTATATTTTATTTAAAAAAAAATTTAGTACAAATTCTTCATATAAAGATTTTTCGAAAAAATTACAAATAATTTATCGAAAGCTATATATATTTCAAACGAACTATTTTCGAACTATTTTTCTGCATCATTCGTTTTATATTTTATTGAAAAAAGTTTTTAGTACAAAATCTTTCTATGCAATTTTTTTGAAAAAAATACAAATAATTCATTCAATTTTATATATATTTAAAACGAACTATTTCCGAACTATTTTTCTATGTTATTAATTCATTCACATATAACTAGTTTCAATCAAAACTCTTGCACTATAACTATAAACAGACTCAACACACGTGCAGTTGAAATGTCATTTGTGTTTACAGTGCAAAGAATTATGTGTTCGTTTGTATAGTGTGATATTTGCATTTCACTCTAAATTTAGAAAGAAAAAGAGTTGTTTTAATATATTTACCAATTTTTGTTCATAAATACTCTTTCAATACTTAGTATTCTCTTTTCAGTATTTTTTCTATTTGTTCAGTATTTGTTCGAATATTTTTCGGTATTTTGACTGATATGATATTTATTATAGTGAACACAGGCGAACAAATACTGAACAAATAGAAAAAATACTGAAAAGAGAATACAAAGTATTGAAAGAGTATTTATGAACAAAAATTGGTAAATATGTTAAAAACAACTCTTTTTCTTTCTAAATTTCATGAACAAAAATATATGTGAAATACACGTTAATATACTGAAATAAATCACCACTTACTTAAGGTATTTTGAAGTGCCATTACTGATCAATTTTTCGAAATAATGTCAGAAATAAATTATAATGAAATACCGAAAAAGTACTAAATCAAGTACTGAAAAGAAACATAGCATGTGAAACGTAGCCGGTGTATTTGAATGGGCTGTATACATACAAAACTACATCAGCAAACACTAAATTGAGGCATATATACGTTTGGCTCTTTCTCTCTTTCTATAACAAAGAAAAATAGTTCGGAAATAGTTCGTTTTAAATATATATAAAATTGAATGAATTATTTGTATTTTTTTCAAAAAAACTGCATAGAAAGATTTTGTACTAAAAATTTTTTTCAATAAAATATAAAACGAATGATGCAGAAAAATAGTTCGAAAATAGTTCGTTTGAAATATATATAGCTTTCGATAAATTATTTGTAATTTTTTCGAAAAATCTTTATATGAAGAATTTGTACTAAATTTTTTTTTAAATAAAATATAAATAAATGATGCAGAAAAATAGTTCGTAAATAGTTCGTCACAATTATATATAACTTTTATAATTTATGTATTTTTACAAGTTTTTTGTAGGAATGTGAAGGTTCTATGTAATATATGAGTTCATTTAAAATTAAATAAAAACGTTAGAAGTGAGAAAATTATATGTATGGAACGAACTAATTGTGAACTATTTTTTTGACAGTTTTATTTTATTGAATTTAATTCATTTTTTCGATTTTTTGGGAAAAATCAAAATGTTCAAGTTTTCGAAAAAAAAATAAAAAATATCCCATAAAATCATATGATATGGAACGAACTATTTACGAACGATTTTTTGGTGAAAGAATTTTTTTCATATCTCTTTCGAGCTCGAAAATTCAAAATCAAAAATTTTGATTTTGAAAAAAAATTGCAAAAATTAAAAAAAAGTGCAAATATTCTCCTCGATTCGGAACGAACTATTTACGAACGATTTTTTGGTGAAAGAATTTTTTGAAAATTTTATTATTTGCGGAAATTTTACAAAAATGGTTTTTAGTACAAAAATTATCTCGGCCCCCAAAAACGAACTATTTTTTTCCTTAAAGGAACGCAATGAACTATTTACGAACGATTTTTATGTGAAGGTCCCATTTAAGTATTCGAATGTCGAGGAAAAAACTTCACACACCTGATAGAATTAGCTCTTTTTGGAGAAAAAAAAAACTTTTCCTACTCGATTATGGAGGTGAATCCTTCTAAATTTAGTGAATGGACCTCTGAATAGAGGAGGAGAACACTCTCAAATTGAATAGGAAAACCCTTTTTATTTTGAGAAGACGAAGTGCTTTTCTTTTCTTCCTCATTTTCCTCATCGCGATTCCTCCTCTTCAGAGTAACATTTGCTGTTCAAATTTAAGTTATGTCACCGAGATTGCCAAAGACCAAATTTGAAAATAATATTTCACTTTACCTCAAACAGCAAAAAATCCAAACGCACTTGCTGAACATCTTCTTGTAATTCAACAGTTACCGTGCAAATTAACCGATCCACACTAGCTTCCGGCCATCCAGGATTTTGAAAGTATGAATCGATTTGAGTTGTTGTTTGGCCACATCCTGTTTTGACTGAAAGTTTGTTGAAATTCGTCAAAATCGTAGAAATGCACAAAAAACTATAAAATCTTACAAACACAGCAAACACCAAGCCCATCAGCACATTCATCAATGGAAACGCCGCCCATTTGTGTGCATTGAAAGTCTTGATAGCAAATGCCCGACATTTCTGTCAATCCTTCTTGTGTCGATGTGCACGGATTGTTTTCAAATTTAATAACATTGAACACATTCAAAAATCGTTGCCCATTTAGAAGTGAGGCTTTTGGATCGGTGCCCAATTTAAGCCATTGTTTAAGTTTATTGCGAAGTATTTGTAGTGTTTCTTTCAACGTTGACGGTTTGGGTCGTTGAATTACTGTCGTATTTTGCCGTTTTGATGCACTGTTCCGATTGAGCAATGATGAAAATGCAAGCACTTGTCGTCTATTTGGTCGAGTGCTCTCCGTTGATGACACCTTATCATAAATCATCGCACTCTGTGTGCTGGATGTTGTTGTTGTGCTTGATGGTGTAATTGATACATCGGTGCTTGAAGGGCTTGCAATTGTTGTAGTTGTATTTAAAATGTTTTCGGATACGGTTTGCATTTCATCCGTCGAAACAGTTGTAATCGTCACTTCAGTCGGCGGTGAGAGAGAGGAAGAAGTTGAAGATGAAGGTATATCACTCGTATCACCGTTCGAATCATTCGATTGTCGTTTCTTCTGAATCTTTTTCGGATCAAATCGCAGTCCATACGTCTCTTTATAATTCAAATACATATAGTTGCGTGTATTTGACTGCAAACGTCTTGCGTGGGTTTTGTATTTCTTTAATGGATTTATATTGGGTTTCACTTCAGCCATTGATTGTGGAATAAATTCGTTAAAAAACCAACATTTTAATAAAACAAAAAACAAATATTGTGTATTCATTCTGTCGGGAGAATCTTTTTGAGGAAATTTTTAATTTACATTCTTTAAAATGAACAAAAAAAAAGTGGAAAACAAACGCTTGTCACATTGACGAGCGAAGAGAAACTAATGCCGACATTGAAAATCTTGACGATTTTTCTTCAGTTTATTTGATAGATTTTCTTCAAAGACGATTTACAAGCCCATTCCTCTTTATTGCAACCAATTGCATGAGAGTACACGCACAATGTGCAACGAAGCCAAGTTCTACTTTTCATTTTGTTTAAACACAGTAATTTCACTGCCATTATTATAACTGTATTAATACTTCATACCAAATGCAATTTTGCGGTAAATTCATTTCATTTACCTTTTATTCAGGTTGGATCGCGAACATTCCATTTAAATCGTCATTCGGAGAATACATTGTATTGAGAATAAAACTGAACTAAAAATACGAAGACCGTTTTCTTTTAGATACGAAAATCGCAAAACTAAGAATTAGTGACCAAGAACTGAATCATATTTAAAGATAAAAAAGCTTTTCCTGTATTTAATTTTATTAAAAACTTACCTTCATTTCTTATTTTACCGTTTATCAGACTTGAGAATGGGTTCCGAACAATCACAACAGGCAAACGCAGCAGATGCTCGGGGTAGATTAAATAATCAAAGTCGTTTACAACGTGGTCATACGATAGCAGTAAGTGGACGTCGATTATCGTCACCGCATGATGATTCAGCAGCAAATCAATTTCCGTCCGATTCGCGACCATCGTCGCCACCAGTGAGCGTCTGCTCAGATTCAGATTTACCTTATGTTTCTTACACCGATAAGCTTGGTGGTTGGTTTTTCAATATACTTCCTATTTTTTCGCAAACTATCTTCTAAATAAAACTCATTCTCACTTCAGACTCACCAAAGCGACAAGGCAAAGGCAGTGCAAGCAGCAACAAGAACACTCGAAATGTGAGCTCAACAAAACGAACGATTTTATCAAAATCGAAAGCTAAATCAGTGGCTCATGACATAGTTGTTGTACGAGAAGCAAATAAAAAAGCTGAAATCGATCCAGACATCCAACGATTACAGGTAAATAACAAAAATTATCATGAATTGATCATAAAAAACTCACAATTATATTTCAAGTGAATTTTTTTTTTTGAAAATTAATTCAATCGTAAAATGCAAATAATTGCATATGTTTTTCCCCTCTTTCAATTCAAGAACTGGTTTGCGTTCCGATGTCTTTCGTCATAATATCGCCTATTGTGCAATCGAAATTCTAAACTAGTTGACCCAATAGACTGAACGCAACCAATGTCGTTAGTATAAGCAAAGTCTTTGTGTATTTTGTGTAGGTGATATTATACAGCGACAATATGGTTTTTAAATACCTACTGAATTTGATGACAAAACAAACACCTTAAAGAATTGTGTGCCCAATAAAACCAAAAATGTAAGGCCGTCAAATTTTTTTTTCAAAGATTTCTGTATGCTACTGTTAAGGTCATTTGTATACCGATAAATGTCACAATCTCTAATTATACAAAAGAAAGGCTTCCCTCTTTCAATTTTATGCAAAATTCAATCATTTTTATGGCAATTTTGCGAATGAACATTTTTATGTAATCATAAAATTGAGACTTTTGTGGCATGCCATTTGGAAACGATGCAGATGTTCTATTGAACAAACGTATAAATGTTTTGACGCAAACGACGGTATAGCACAATAACTTAGTTAATTCAATATGAATTCGAGATTCAATACAGAGAAACCGCATCTTCGCATGTCAAACTAGTTTTTTTTGTGTGTGTTTACATTTGCTACTGGCTGCAATAACAACATCAAATAAACAGCACGGGTTGGTTAGTCATGCTCATGTGCATCGACAGCGCAACTTTTTTTTGCTACCTTATTTTCTCTTTTCTCGAATTTCTTTTCTTCTTCGTCTTCTTCTTTGACTTTTTTTTATATTGCGATTCGTTCCATTCACACAGTGCAAAAATGTGTAACGTTCGATTCAGTACAATGCAGGATGAAACACGTGAAAATCCGAAACAAAATAATCAAAACAAAAAAATATAATGTCGATAAACAAGCACTTGCTTACGTAAGTGGTCGAGCAATTTTTAAATCGCCCATACTGAATGTGTACTGCATATAGTGCAACTTTCATCTTTTCAACTTATCACGTACTCCGATATTTCAGAGCTATAGCAGTGTTGGTGCCTTTTTCTCTTCGTTATTGTCCAAACTGCTGTTTCTGTTTCATTCTGTCGTAGTTATTCATACGTGAATTCTTTCCAAGAATAATTTTCAGTGTACGTTTTGAAATGCCAATCGTGCAGTACGATTATCGTGCGAGTCAAAAGCAATGTTTCCATTTTTTTTTCTTCAACAAACCATTCCATCGTTCCCAGTCCATCATAAATTTGGCAGTAGACAAAAACACATAGGAAATCACTGAACTTTGAAAACTAAATTAATCTTCACAATCGACAATTCGTTCATTTGTTCACGCCAACACAATTTTGGAACGATTCATTTATATATATTTTTATTGTGAAATGAATGAAAGACTCAAAATTAAAAGAATAATAAGAAAACATATCGGTTAGCATTTTATTAGTGTCAGTTTGATTTTTTTTAGAGGAAGAAGGAAAATAGATGAAACAACAAAAAAAAACTTAGAAGAAATTAAGTACATCTCGTTATTCAATCGTGTTGTTATTTGTTAAAAAAAGTGTCTTTATATATAAACAGCTGCAGCAACTACGACATTTTGTTTCTCTGTGTGTCATTCGTAGTCGGGTAATCCAACGCCTACACGTGTCACAGCTGAATTTCTTACACTCATCGGTCGCTGGGCTTGAGGTCCAACTTTCCCACTAAACAATATATTTGTTCGAAGATGTTGTGGAACATGTGTTGGCTTTCGACTGATGCACGTTGAATACTCGTCTTCTTCATGGCGAACATTTCGAACGGGTGCTTCGTCATAGTATCGATCTTCTGTTTTTCGTGAAATGGGCTTTTTAGTCGAAGTATGTCTCGGTTCATATTCTCGGCTCTCGGTTTTCGGTTCATAGTGATTATCGTATCGATCATAGTTGGGCGAACGTCTGCCACGAATCGGACTCTCTTCATGACGACGAGCAGGTTGTCGGTGTTCATACGGTGGTTGTGAAAACGAACTTCTTTGGGATCTTTCATAGCTGTGTTCAACATATCCTCTGTCACCTCTTTCAAATCTATCGCCTCTGTCATCATAGTCATTATTATATCTATATGGTTCATCCCGGCTTCGTTCATCATTTCTGTATCGACGTTCATCGTCTCGATAGCCTTTGTTTTCGTATTTATCTGAATAGTAGTGATCGTAATCGTTGTTTCGTCTTGCTTCATTTCGATTCGAACCACGATGATAGGAATTCCGTTCATAATCATCAACTTTTCGGCCTTGTGACAAATTCAAATTTTTCACTTCTTTTATAATTGTGCTTAATTTCTCTGGTTTCTTATCGCCATCACTTTCATCAATATTTTTTACCATTTTCGAAATATTTTCAACCGATTTGCTCAAATTTTTCGGCAATAGTCCTCTTTTTGGCAATGGTTTCACCAATACTTTCTCGCCACCCGGTTTTTTCTCTTCACTATTATTTTTTAAAATACCTTTTGTTTTTTCCGCCGTCTGGAATGAAATGCGCTTTTTGTTCATTTCATGACTTTCATTTTTCGGTTTGATTTCTTGATCTTTTCGCATCTCTTCCACATTAATTGATTTCACTGGTTTCTCATTTTTTGCATTGTTTTCATGCTCAAAATCGTAAAATTCGATTTTTGACGAAAATGTTTCGAGTTTCTTTTTCTCTGGCTGAAAATTGATGCCGTTGTTATTGTTTAAATTAATGTTGTCAATTTTTTTGAAACGTCGACGACGTGATTCTGGCGTTTTTGCATTAACATTATCATAAAATTGAATGCCCGATGACAATTGCTTGCGAACTAATTCTTTGGGTTTTATATCCGATTGAGTGGTGTCAGTGTTGTTATTGTTGTTTGTGGTAATTGGTGCTGGTTTTGAAACGATACGTTTTGAACGGGAAGTCACTGATTCAGCATCGGTTTCGTCGGGCCAAAAGAAATGTGTCTGTTGTCGATTCACCGTTTTACCACGCGTCATCATTTCACTGGGTAAACCAGCGTAAAACTTTCCTTTTATCATTTTTATCGCTCTTAATCTTTGTCGGCAGAAAACTTTTCTTTTGTCATTAAACTCTAAATGTTCGTTAAAATTTCGTTCTTTTTTTTTCAATTTTCACACTTCAAAATCCGTGGCACTCAAAAATCAACAAATTGCACATTTTTACGGATCTATTTCCGTTATTCAAATGAACAGTGGTCTATAAACGAGGCGCAACTGATGTGATTGCCTTACGTACGAACGATTTTCAATTTGATATGTCATACAGACCGCGATCAAGTCGCAACTGAATCAATTTAATTCGATGGAATAAAAAAAGGCGCACAGAGAAACAACAATGAATACATACCATCGAGACAGCATCGATTTGATTTCTCTTTCGTTCTTTCTTGTTGCTGAACTCCTTCAACTTAACTTCTTTTTTGTTCCGAGTTGAAAGCAACCCAATCACATCGATGTGAACATGAAAGAGATGACGAACGCCGACGACCTGTTTAAAAAGCCACATATTTGCATTTACTCAATTTGGTCGACACCGTACCTACACACAATTTTCATTCAAAAACATTGTACACGCTTACGTTGATCACAATATTCGAAATCGAAATAAAAACAACAACAACATACAATGAACGAATGGTGTTTGAGTGCTTAACATGAGGTTTGGTGGTGGTAGAAAGCATCGCGGGCGTAAAAACTGCTTCCAAAAAAGCACTTTTCAAATTATAAGTACACACGCGCATACATAAGATAAGAATGATTGCATAAGACATGTTTACTACAAAAAAAAAACAAATTTACTTTTTGCGCCATTGATTTTGGGCGCGATAACTGGTACACGCGACCATATTTAAAGTTGTACAGTGAGCACATTTTAAGTTTGTCGGCTTTATAATCCTTTTATGTAAATTACACCAACTGTTTTCTATTAACTTTAAATAAATGTAAAAATATTAGCTGAAATGTTTTTTTTGCACACATGTTCGGAAAACTACACCCAAAGAATTTTTTTCTTTTGATAAGTTTTTATGAAGAGAAAAAAAATTAAATGCCAACGACATCAATACATGCATTAATTATTAGTTGAATCATAAGCAGAATTCAAGAGAATAGCCGAAGAAGTTGATACTGAAACCAATTTTTTTCCTCTCCAGCTACGAATGCAAAAGATTCTATTTTGAAAATGATACGTTCGTTATGCACAGAATAATATTCAAACAGTTTGGCCCGAAATAGCCTTGAACATACCGAATACGGACTGTGTGTGTGTATTTCTCGGCCCACACTAGATGCCATGCTTAATTTACTGAATTTATCGACATGAATACGTACTTTTATGGCTCTATTCATACGATCAGTCATGTTCGCATAACGAAATACGAACAGAGAATAAGATTTGCAAAAAAAATTGATTCTTCATCTCAAATGCTGTTTCGAAATTAAATTTCTGACACAAAAACTAATGACTTAAGAATACTTAGCTCTTGAATATGAATTATTATAATAATGCCGATGATTGACTTATGTTAACCCGCACTTTACTGACATTTAAACTGTGCGATTTTTTTTTCTTCTTCACAATAAATGTTCTATCATCAGAGATTTGCTCGGCGTTGCGGAGAAACCTTCGCTTTTTTTAGTGTTGGCCACATTCACGCTGAGCACGCGCAACGCGTATAAAATGTACATGCTCTTGCGATACAGTTAGGCTCACATCAGGAGAATTAAAATTTATCGAGGAGAATTAAACAAATGGAACCAATGGAGCAGATAACATTTTATGATGCAAAGATAATATATCCAAAGAAGAAACAAAAAAAAAAATTGATTACTTAATCAGCTCAGGTGTTTAAAATGACGAAATACTAATTACATAATTTGTTTAATCTATTTTGGTAGAGTATTCCACAATTTTTGCCGGTCATGCGTGGAACGGTTTCATTGCCAGCAAATCGAGATCCGGAAGTATTGGAACGTTTACATCCAGAACATTTTCAAAATATGTGTAATCGAATGGAGGTTCATTTGAATGCGTCCGCCACACAAGTCGGCAACGATCAAGCACATATCACCGCCAAAATGAAAGAGGTAAGTGGTCATTAATCGCATTTTGGAACAAGTTTTAAACCAATTTCCATTTTCTCAATCAATTAGGTGGACTACGAAGCAACAAAAGTGTTCAATTCATTTACAGAGAAACAAAAACTCTACTCAACATATGCGGAACATTTCTCAAAACTGCATCATGTGACACAACAGCTTAGCCGCTGCAACGTTTTACTCAATCAAAATATCGAAAGCATGGAAATACTAAACAATATGCTTGATGTCAGTGATCGCTTACCACCATTTTTATGGAAAACTTCCGACGATTAATTATAGCGTAGTTTAAAATCTGTCTCTAGTCATTTTCAAGCAGAAAGTCGACATTTTTACAAGTTTTTTTGTGTGATAAGAAAAATGCACCGATTTTGTTTGTTTGACGACGCTATTTATTTTATAAAAAGAGACCGATTTGTTTGTGATTCTAATATTGACGTCAAAATTGATTTTAATCATAGTAAAGTTAATAATTAAAAACAAAAGACGGTTGTATGAGATTCATGATTACTTTTTGAGCATTACAAAACGACCAATCTGTCTTCACTGTACAAATACATATTTCTTATTTTTAAAAAATGGTTCAAATTAAAAGAAATTGCAAGAATTAATCGACACAAGATCAATGTTTAAAGTTTTAAGTTTACAAATTGCGTTTAAATAAAAATCAAAATGTTGTCGATTGCTTATAGCTACTGAGGAGATTATATGCACTATGAGTTATTATTGTGAATATTTAATTTTTGAAATCAATATTATAGAATATGTATATCTCCTATGAGAATGAGTGAGAGAAATGCGCACGAATCGCTATATTAGTCTATAGATACCATTATAATTGATAAGGTCAAATGTATTGCCTATTAATCATAATCCACAATCATATAAATCAAATGCTTATTAAAATCATTCGTGAAAATTGCTGAAGTGAAGTTTTGTTTTTATTTTTGTATTCACACATAGACATAGACACACACATGCGTACACACATTCTACACTTTCGAAATGTTAATGCGCCATTTATGGTGATCATAATTTATTCGGTATATTAGACTAGGGAATTGATTGATCACGTGCGTTTTCTACTGAAGGTAAGAATGAAAGCTTAGAAAATGATTTTATTCGTTAAATTTGAATTTCAATCAGGTGATTTTACAATGAATCTTGAATTCAATGTACTTTAAAATGAATCTCAACAAAGAGAAAATGTCTTTAATTTTTGTTTTGCAAAGAATACTGCTTTCTCTCACTTGTTAAATCTCATTCCTTTTAATTTGACACACATGCATAACTCTTTTGGCAAACAAACTTGTTTGTCAATAGAATCGACGTATGAAATTGTAAACAACGTTTTTTTTTCGATCTCCATTGAGGTCTACATGAATTATATCACGGCATTTACGCGCAAACACACACACACAGCAGTGCACGTTTTGTAAAAAGTAGAAAAAGACCGTGTTATCAGTACTAGACCGAAGAAAAATAAAATGTATAATTTTTTCAATGATTTCTGTCTCGTTCCAGTTTTGATCTTTTCAGAGTTCAATCATCGATTTTATGATGTTGGGTCATTTGGTGATATTTTTCCGAAAACAATAACAAATTCGTATCAGCGTTTTGGCATTGTTTTTTTTAAGCACACATTCAGAAATGCTGATCATTTTATAAAAATAGAGTCACTGAATTGTCTCCAAGTAAAATGTACACACCGTTGCATATGTATATCAAGATTCAAGTAATGATTAAACAAGGAGTGTAACTAGACCGTGCGATGAAGCAGAAATATAATGAATTCTCATGGTAAAATCAACTAAATTACCCTTCATAACTATTTCACATGGGGAATACCTTTAAATGCTGGACAAACATTCATTTGGTTCAATTATGCATTTATGAATGTAATAAGCGCCGCCGAATACCAAGACATCGTTCACGTTCAATTAAAATACATCGTTTGATGAACTATTGTTCGACGACTATAACCAAAGACATCCCAAACATGTGTGTATGTGTACGTACTGCGTATAAGTATATTTTAAGTATAGCAGAGAGTATGATGAGAATTGCGAGTGATAATGATGGTTGATAAGGCGCTTATCATCGATTGGGGATGTAATCAATTACACTTTATCGTATGTATTCAATATTTGAAGCAATCGCAAAAATAAATGATAGTAATAAATGGTTCTGCTCTCCTGAGTGCTCTGCAACAAAAAAAAATGTGTCGTGTAGTGTTTTAATCAGTCACAGTCGGACGTTCATAGCTGAAACTTGTTATCGAGATGGATTGCAAACTGCATTGATTATTATATTAGTTGGAATGGTTTGACCAGATGAAGAAATTTCACGCGTTTGAATAAAAATTTTGTGTTTTCTTTTTGTTCAATTTCTAGAACGATGCAGAGAGCTCACACTGAGCGCACGAGAATAATCATCGAACGGCAGTTTGTTCGTATTTCGGTGTAGTGAAATTATTATCACTTGAATTACTATTGATTTTCTTTCGTCACATCTCTCTCGCTCGCTCTCTCTCGCTCTCCTACTCTCTCAGAGGTTAAAGGCGTGTATTTGTGATATTTATTGTGATAGACAGACTACTACTATCACACGATAATAGCGAACGCAAACAAATTCCTTGCACATTTTGTGTGTTTTTCCATTATATTCCAACAACGGTACGGAACAACATTTTCAACACGGATTCAGTCATTTCAGTCACTTGACGCGAAAAGTGGTTCAGACTCGTTCAATACAATTTAAAAAAAAAAATAGTACACCATAACCATCGGGAGTTGGTCTTGAAAATAGCGGAATCAACTGTTGAGTCGTGAAGTGTAGCGTGTGTACCTTTCAAAAACAAAAAAAATCAAATAACAAAAAGTGACAATTCCGAATTTAAAACTGATAATGGATTATTGTGAGGCTGTCGTTGATAAAGTTAAAACCGACGCTATTACACAGCGAAATCATTTGACAATAACAATAATTTATCAATTAAAATTTTGTATTTAAAATTTGAAAAAAATCAAACAAACGCACGCATTTGACACATTGTTTTCAATTGATAAGTGATACCCGGGTGAAATTTGAAATTGAAAAAAAAAAACAACCGTGACTTGTGACCAATTGGAATTAATCAATTTCTAAAATGAGTTTTGACGATTTTGACGACTTCGAATCAAAGCAATCGTTGAATAATTCGTCCAATTGGAGGTGGCCCTTTCCAATACGTGAAAATTCAAGTAAGTACAAATTATAATCGTTAGTGATAACAAACTCAAACAAATGTGTACAAGAAACTGCTATATCGAGAGTTAGGCTTAAATCATCACAACAAATGAATTTCAATTTGTAAATCGTCTACATTTGATTAGGCACTTTTTTTAAAGTGGCTTCAATTCAATTGATGTGCATCATGACATGACGAGTTGCAAAGAATAGAGAGAAAAAAAACATTGTTTAAGGTCGCCTTTGATAACCATTTCACGTTGGCCTACATTCTGTAGTAAATTTGAGTGCAAAAGTGTTGTTCAATGTTCAGCATCATCACAATCAACATCAACCGAAACAATGACAATGATATGATCCGTTTGATTAAATATGCCCATAAAGTGGCATCAAATTACGTAATTTAATCCGACGATATATTAAATTGATCTAATCATTTTTGTTTAGTCGTGTATTTCTAAGAAGTGTCAGTTTTTTTTGTGCTTTGTCTCATTCCATGATAACTGCATATAGTTTAGTTCATTCTTATCGCATCGTATCACAGAGCGATTGTCACGATTGTACTTTGTGTTGAAAAATCCCGTTCAATTGGTATAGATATCTAGATCATAAAAATAGAATTCCATGAAGCAATATCACGATTGGGTTAAGTTTAGAAAAATCCCGCTTGGGGATTTTGCAATGCAATTGACAAATGTGTGTCGAAATGATATCATACATTTAGCGACGAAGACAACTAAAAAGAAGCAGAGGTGATAAAAAATGGTAAAATGGTTGCCCCTTGTGATGTTAGGGAACATTGCACTTGATCGTAGCCAAAAAGCAAAACAAGTTGCATCTTTGTATTACAAAAGCACTGAACGTTTTTTATTGACCGATATGAAACGTCAGCAGTTAAAGAATTATTGATTTTTTCAAGCTTTTCAACAACAAAAACGACAAAAAAAAACAAACACCACTGATTGCACAGCGAGACTAAGTAAATAATGTTGACGCGCACAATGAATTTTGCTGAGACTCACACACTTTTGCTTTGTGCTCGTTGAATCAATGTTGATATTTTGTGATTTATGAAATTTATCACCACAACCAAAACAAATTAAATCCATTGCATTCTAATATAATAATTACGTGTCCAATTTACGACTCATTCCGCTCCAACAAATCGATTGTTGATTATGCAGCGACAAATTTATTTCAATGTCGTGAAAAAAAATTCCACTGGAAAAGGCTTTGATGCTGCCACATAAACACATTGTTTACTGATGCGATCGATCAACAAGACAAAAAAATTCCTTTCCTCGTCGACATTGCAATGGCACTAAAACTTGTCATTCGGTGATTTTGTAATGACGATTGATTTATTGCGGTGTGCTCTTCCTAAAAATGAAGCTATACCTAGTTTTTTTATCATTCATTCATACATATTTTGGTAGTTTCATTTTAAATTTATCGGGTTTGACACACATCTAACGAAGAAAAGTCATCGTTTATTCTAGCTGAAATGGATTTTGAGATAATTTCGGTTTGTTTGCAAAATGAACGGCACTCGGTGAGATAACACTGTAATTATCAGTGTGTTTTATAATTCATGTGCAAGAAATGTATACTCAGTACCTTTTCAGCTACCCAAAAGAGAGCACAAGTAAAAACAATTTTTTTCGTGATAATCAGTTCATTGTAACTTATTTGGAATACCATAAAATTCGTGGAACAACACAGGAAATAGCAAAAAAGTAATGTTTTATTTCTTCTTTATTATTTCTAAATAGAATGTTTGACAGAATTATTTCAAATTACAAATGAAATTCCATTGTGCGTCAATGATTAAACCATTTTAGGAGCAAGTATATTCGAAAAAATAGTTTCATATCCACTCGTGATCATTCAGCGCAAAATAAATTATCCGCACCGTATCACGTGAACATATATACTTAGACATTTCACATATGCAAATAAGCATTTCACTTCACCATTTTTGCAATTATCCGCACTCATAAAGTATGCAATGAATTCTATTTCGTCCAACGACAACAACCAAAAAATTACCACTTACCGAGTGTGAATAAAAAAATGCGAGAAAAAAATGCTTTAGACAACTCAAAAAACCATTTAAATTTAAATGAAGTGATTTGGTTCGTTGGCATAAAAAAATAAACTGGAAAGTGCTTTAAAGTGGACATTGTTAAAGTTGATCCCGGTGCCTTCATGTGATCTATTTAATTTGCGGATACACGGGTTTTAAGAACAGCAGAATAAACATTGTGAAGAGGAAGAGAGAGAATAATGCGCGCCATTCGAGCATTGTTCTCCTTTGTTCGATTGTAATTTATAAAAGCCACCGAAATCCACAATGGTGCTATTTAATCGCATTTAGTGGCCAGCAATTATAATATTCACGGTGTTGAACAGATCGATTGTGTGACCCTCAACTAGAATGATACTTGTGATGGCAACATCACTTTTTTTGTTGTTATTATTAAAACAATTCGTCCTGATGCGACAGTACGCTTCTAGGCACGCTTTGTTCACATTTGCTTCTAATTTTATAAATCGAACGATAAAAAAAATCTAGTTTGGTTTGAAATCCAAAATCCACTCAAACACTGTTATGATGATAAACAATTTTCTAAACAATACTGCGCATTATTCCAAAGAATCGAAATGGTTATGAATGAAGTGGTTTTGCTTTAATATTTTGTTTACATTTTTTTTGTTCAATTTTTTTTTTCTGTTTCGAACTGAATTTATCAAGAATTAATCATAAGTTTTGAATTTATCTGACGCAGTAAGATAATAATAAATTGAGACAATAAACCTCGAACCATCTTTTTCACGAATTTCAAGAGTAATGCGCAAATGTCAAATGACTCAAATCAATGTGCGAAATCGTCTTCTTAAGTCGAAAAAAAAATCGAATGGTGTAAATTGTGTGCCAATTGCAGCAATATTTCAATCTCATAATCGGAACTAATTCGTGAATCGTCTATTTAACAGCGCCAATTACAAATGCAATTATTCAAACGGAACAACGACATTAATTTAGTTTTTTAAATCCAGTTATTAATGTGAACCGTTTACGAAGAGCAAAAAAATATACGTATATAAAAAATGATTCGGTGACGATGTGCATATATGAAAAAAACGACAAGCCATTATGATATAAGGATAATAAAAAATACAATGAAAAAAGCTTTGTATTTAAATATGAATTGCTCATCAAATGGCGAGCCGCGCAAATATTTCAATTAAATTGTGCATATATTTAACCAAGGTTTGCGGAACATGTGTTGCCGCTAATTTAATAATAATGATCAGATCAACGCGTTCGTTTTGCTCGCCGTCTCTGTCTATTTAGGCGTGCAACAATTTCGTTTATCACTCGATTCTTGGCTCTCCCCTCTCTCTCGCTCTCTCTCTCTCTCGCTGGGCCTGTCTCTCAGCAAATTCCCGGAATAAGAGATGATGATGAAAAGAGATACAAATAAATAATCGGTTTTTCATTATGCAAATTTGGGCTCTCGCTTTTGGCGAACACCGGAAACTTCTCGCACACATAAACAACTCGATATAATACTGTATTAATTACAATATATCATTATTGAGATTTATACCGAAACTGATGTTCACGTTTTTTTCTTCTTTTGTTTTGCGAAGAACATTGAAATGATATAAATTTAATATAGGCTTTTGATCTATTATTATTATTCCATTTTATGGTAAACGAAAATAATATGACTTTGAGTCCGTGTTAATTATTTGTTCCGAATAACATATTAGTCCAAATGAAGTTACTAAGAATACCGTGATGCGTAACTCCATTAGAATCAAAACAAAAAACGCTAATCATAAATGTGTGTTAATTCGATTCTTCTTTGAATAACAAAATCAGTTTGTTTATTTACTCATATCGCGACACATGAAATTGATGACAATTCTAGGAATATGATGGAATTTTAACGATATTAGGAAAAAATAAAATGTGTTAATTTTAAAGGCAGTTAACACAAAATAAAATAAAGTCCTCAAATTTCATTTGTATCGATGGAATTTTTTTACAACAAATCACATTGTTTCATTAAAACATTCCATAGTTGACTGTTTACAAGCCACCTGTCACCATTTATTATGAATAAATACCCATTTACAAATAATAAATGAAATATTTTAATTTGTTACGTCTTTTAGTCATTAACATATATCCGAGTAACAATTATTTTCGTTGAGTAATATTTAACACTTCACGTGCACCGCACAAAACCATCAATCGATTCATATTTTATGTAGAAGAATTATCCTTTTTTGTAACACGTCACTCGTCGTATTTGCATCGGACATGGTAATTAAAGAAATCACATCTATTTAGTCGGCCATCAAACAAAAATGGGTAATTTGATAGAAAAAATGTAATAGGGGACGGACAAAATGAAGAATTAAGATTATTAAAATAATAGAATCGAAAAAATGACCACTTAGATGGAATTACTTCTTGAAAACTGCGATTAGCTTCATTTCGATAATGCACATAAAAAATGTAATGGCTGTAATCGCATGGTTGTTACGAATGTAATTTGATTTTGGACAAATTACAAACATGCAAAATACATTATTCAATGCAATTTTATTGCATTTTGATGATTTTGTTTGCTGCATCACATATTGGAGTCGCGATGTCTGATGATCGATGTTTTTCTCTCTCTCTCTTCTGTTCAGTGTCATTTGAACTGTCTATGTATCTGAAATCATAATAATGCATTTATTGCACCTGGTAAATATATTACACGATATGTAATTTATTCAAAACCATGTCGAGTAAATCAAATGCAAATCAACTGGAAATAGTTACACACGTAAATCACGACTGTTCAATAAGAAATATGTTTTTTTCTTTAAAAAAGAAATTTCAGAATAATATGAAAAAATCCAAATGAATATCGACTTTTACCTATAGAATGGCGTTGGAAGAGGTACGCATAAGCAGTTTTATGCTGTAATTGTTTCGATTGAAAGTTAA